GCGGAGGGTGTCCTGCGACGTGTTGGGTTGTGGTAACTCAGCATCAGGCGATCGGCGTGCTTCGCTGTTGTAGTTGTGAGCTTCGCGTGTTATATCATCCGGATCGGGTTGGTGTACGGGCACGAATGTCGGAGTTCCGAATTGGCTCGTAAGGGGGATGTTCGGAGCAGAATTCATCTGGGTGACATCAGGTGCGTCTGCATCCTCAGCCAGATCAGCTTCGTCGTGTGACGTGGCGAAGCTGCGGTGGCCCCCGAAGAGCCTCTCGGGTAGCTTGTCAGCTTCCTGGTGCTCCTTGAAAAGGGGCAGAGTCAGCTTCTCGTAGAAGATGCAGTCACGTGATTTCGTCACCTCGTGCGTCGCGTAGTCCAGCACGATCCACGCCTTGAATTCCTTTTCGATTCCGAGGTGGATGCCCCATCTTGCCCGGTCAGCAAATTTTCCGGTCCGCGCAGTGTGGGGTCTGTACTGTACCATACAACCGAACACCCGAAGTAGGCGTGTGTCCGCTTTTCTGCCCGTCCAAGCCCGGTAAGGAGAATTGTTGTCCTTGAGGCTTCGTGAAGACAGTAAGTTGTGTAGTCGAACAGCGTGATTCATCGCAAATGGCCAATATCTGGTTGGGATGGCCGACTGCTTCATCAGAGCCCTCATCCGCGTGGCGAGGCTCCTGTTTGTCCGTTCTGCTACGCCTTGCTGTTGGTGAGCGTAGGGAAGGGACACCAAGTGTTCAATTCCCTTCTGCTTGAAGAGTTCCTTGAACTCGTCCGAGAAGAACTCCAGGGCCCCATCCGTTTGCCAGGCCTTGAGTTTTAGCCCAGACTGTCGCTCAGCCCTCTTCATCCATGCGATAAAGCATTCAAAGGCCAGTGACCTGCAGTCGGTGTTGATGGCCCAAACGTAGCGCGTAGAGGCATCGATGAAGGTGAGCGTGTAGAGTTCTCCATCGAGCCCTTCCTGGCCGAGCACCAAGAAATCGCTGTAGACCTTATCCAGTGGTTTGTAGCGTTCGTATCCCGGAGGTAGGTCGGGGAACGGTTTGTGATTGAGTGATGCAGTTGGGCAGACCATGCACGGTGGATTGGGAGAGTCCACGGTGAGGGAACCGTCTCGGGGAAGAAGAAGCGCGTCGTCGTCGAAGACTCCAGCCTTTAGCGAATTTTTTAGCGTGGCGTGAGATGGATGTCCAAGTCGTTGGTGCCATGTTGCTGGGTCCGCACGGTAGCCGACTGTTTTCTGATAATATTTTTGCCGTGCTGCTTCGTCGTTTGCCTCCCCTTCAGGTCCTGCGTCGGCGGCGTTATCCGTGTCGGCGGCGAGCGCGCGAATTGCCTTCCTTTCCAGAAGCGCGCGGGGAATACCGATGATGTCGTCGGTATCGCTAGCTTCGACTTGGTCACCGGTCACGAGCAGGCATCGATTGGGCCAGTTTTGAGCGGGGAGTCCCGACATGGGAATCCGGTAGTAGCTGTATTCGGCACCAATGACCTCAATTTCTTGGGGTCCTTGTACTGGCGGCTCCGGTTCTTCGGTCGGTTCAGGTAATTCTGCTGGTTCTCCCATGAACTCGTAGGTCTCCTCTTCCTCTGATTCCTCTGGTTGTGGTGGTGGTGTGTCAGGGGCGTACTGATCCGGAAGAGGAGGACCTCCCCAGCAGGTGCCGCGAGTTGCCCAGTACGGGTCGACGATGGCGACTTCCGCGGGAGGAAGGCCGGCTGCTACGACGTGCTCTCGTTCCGTTTCGCCCGATGTGCCCCAGCCTCCTCCGGCGCCCCACGTGTCTCCGGTTGTCCTTGCTTCTCCGACTGCTGCGTCTTTGACTTCTGCGCCACCTTCCTCGGCTGGGGCAGGGGGAGTTCCCCAGTCAGTTGCAGCAATTTCTTCCGTTGCGATGGCACCCCATTCTGTGGCCGCTTCCTCTGGAGTCAGGACTTCGCCCCAAGATCCAAGCGCGGGTCCGGAAGTGTCCCAGCCTGTCCAGCGCGTTTCCGCCGGCGTGTTTTCCTCGGCAGGTTGTGTTGCAGGGCCTGACGTGCCACTGTCTTCCTCCATTGTGGCAGGTCCGGTCTCAGCAGGATTCGAGGTCGAGGCGGTCGGGACAGTGCGCAAGCGCAGAAGGCCGTCAGAGGCGGGTCGCTCGAGGTCCATCTCGTCGGGATGTGACCACGTTGGCGCCTCCGTGGGAGTCGTTTTTAGGAGCAGCGTGCGGTGGGAGTCCCCGGTTGTGCCTTGAGCGGAGAACTGCAGCACGAAGACTCCGTCGTCATCGACCGCCTTTCCGATGTAAGTCTCGTTATGGAAGAGTTCGAAGGTCTTTTCTTTGCGGTTGCTGCGAATGTCGATTCCGCACCGCATGAGTTGAGCTGACGAGAGCAGGTTGTACTGGAGATCTGGTGCGACGAGGACATCTCCGATGTGAATAATGAACTTGGTGTCGTTGGCCTCGAGGTAGATTTCGCCAATCTCATATGCCTTCACCTTTCCGTTGTTGGCGGCGGTGATTTCGCAGGGTCGACGCATGCGCCGTGAGTTGCTGATAAACTTCGGCGATCCCACCATGTGTTGCCCGCAGCAACTGTCGAGGTACCAGGTATCCAAATCCTCGTGGCGCTGACGAGCGAGATTGGCGATCTTGGGCGTGATGATGCGATCGAAGTCGCCGGTGTATGGCGAGAGAGCGAAATATCGGTTTGCGGAGATGCTTGGCGGTGATTCCGGAGTGGGAGGGGGGAGTTCGAAGTCGGAAGGAATGTCAGAAGGGCGAGTGGACCAGGTGAGAACCGTTGGATCATTATCTGCATCAGGCGCAACGGGGTTAGGATTGTTGGAAGGGAACGAAACTCGGTCCCGATCCCAGTAGCGGAGCGCTCTGCTGCGGCGAGCCATGCAGCTTATGATTGTTCCCTTCCCTTTGTCTTTTGCCATGATGACCGCAGGGGACTGAGAAGTACTGGCGACCGAAGGGGGTGACACAGTGGAGGTTGCGGCAGACGGCTTTGGCTGAGCCGAAGGTTGCTGGCTGGAGGCGTTGGCGTTGCGCCGTTCGTCAGCAGCCTGACGCTTGTAGCACTGGTCGATGGAGTGGCCAGACTTTTTGCAATATTTGCAGAAAGCTCCCTTCTTTCCGCGTTGCTCCCCTTGAGACCCTCCTGTGTAGAAGGCTAATTTCTCCCGCTTGACATTTTTCTCGTTGTACAGGTCGATCTCCTTCTGCTCCGAAAGAAGCGTGGCGCACAGAGCTGACTCCGATATGCTTGCTCGGGCGCGAAGGAGTGACTGACATTGGCGCCAGTCGGGACCAAGTCCAGAGATGACCATTGAGATGAACATGTCATCGGGAACGGAGCCGCCGCACTTCTTGACTTGATCGCGCAGATTGCGGCACCGATTGACATATGGTCCCGCTTTCTCCCCTTGCTTCATTTTGACTGAAGTCAGTTGACTGAGCAGGCGACTCATTGTAACTGGATCTGTTGCCATGTATGAGTTGCGCAGGTGTTCCCAGGATGCGTGCGCGGGAGCCCACTCCGTCTTGTATGGTCGAATGCCGAGCTGCTCTTCAGGTGAGAGGTTGCGAAGGAGAGTGGTGTACGCGAGAAGAGACTCGTGGTAGTATTGATGCTTCTCCTGGATGGTGCCTTCCGAGGGAAAAGGCAGACTTCCGTCGTAGTACATCCAGATCTGAGCGGTTGTCGCGAGAAGCTCGAATTCGAAACTCCACGTGTAGAAATCCGTCGAAAGGGATTGAGGTCTTCAATTTTGAGGATAATACAAATTTGGTTTGCATTGAAGCGATGTCTGACTGCGACCGCTGTGGGTTGTCTTGTGCAGGAGCTGACCCTTGACGATTGTCAAAGGTGAAGGATCTCTCGGAGTTGACGCGGCGGTCTTCTCCAGGGAGAGGAAGTCCAGCAACGCCACGTGCATAGCTTGAGCCATCAATGCTCATAGCCTGATGGCTTTCAAGAGCGTTGATGCGCGCGACTAGCTGCTCAACGACAGCGGCGCTGACGGAGGTCACCGCTGATGGCGCGTTAGTAGTTGCTGGTGGTGGGCCCGGTGAGTCTGCAGTAGCTTTCCCTTCAGGAGCCATAGTGTTGCAGACTTTAGGATATAATGAATGATTTTATAAAGAGGTTGTTCTAGGAAGAACGAGGGCTTTGACAGATCCTATAATCCAACCTGGCTCTCATACCATGCTGATATAACCAAAGGATCAGTGGATAGGATAGGATGTGTTAAGCCTAAGAGGAGACAGTGAAGTCTCTGAGATGACCTTGTTGAATAATAATTGAAAGAGAACAAGATGATTGAGGGATAGAAGTACAAGGAATTAAATAGCGACTGACTAGCCATGTACTCTGAGGGGTACATTCCCTTATTAACTGTATTACATAGCTACAGCAACCGCGACTATTACTATCCTTGACAGTTACCGTGTTGCAGTCAGTTAACTGTCGCGCGGTTACCGGATCGTCAAGGGTCACGACCGTTGACTTCCTCAAACGGTTGACCTTCGGGTGACCCTCGACATTCCGCGTGCTCTATATGAGCTCATGCGGTTCTGGTACAGTGGTACAGCTTTGAGAATGCCTTTATAACCTTTCGGTTATTCCAACAGCTCTTTTGCTGCCTTCCCTTCCACACGCTTACTACCAAATTAATTATTTCGTAAGTATAAACGAGTGGCACAACTTTCCCCATCAGTTCACACTCCCCACTAATACCCCATACAAGTTTGACAAGTAGACCTACATAAAAATGTACGTCAGCCACCCAAGTACTAGTTGTAGGTAAAACGCTAGCATTTGCTGAGAAGATCAGACTACCATATCTACCACCTGTACAAGCCTAGCAGCGGACCAGCACCAACTCTTACCACCAAAATGGCGCTCCACTCCACGAGTTCTACCTGTACAGCAGCGCGTATAACCTACTGGAAAATGAAGGGAATTACCTTTGATTGAGCCTCTACTGGATATGTACAAGAAGCGGGATTTCTATATGAACATCTCCTCGATCCTGCACAGGGGGGTTCAAAAGAGGAGGTTCCAGGAGGTGAAATAATAACCAGTTTATGGTAACATACACATCAAACTTGACAGCCAATGACACATTACACCATGCCATTGGTAGGAGCATGAGGACCACATCTAGAACAGCGTAATACCACCAACCATCACTAACTTGCTCACTCCCTCTCTCCCCCCCCCCCCCCCCCCCCCCTCTTCCCCCCCCCTCCACATGCACTCAATCACACGCAAACCACGCCCGCACTCCCTCCGACCCACCCATCCCCTCGCTCGTGTCTGGTTTTCCACGCCTTGTCTGGAACCCCAACAACAACAAACTCTATTGATCCAACCCAGGCCCCTCTCCAACCTTCCCCCATCTCCCCCCCCCACCTCTCCCTCTCCCCCCCTCTCCCTCTCCTTCCCCTCCCCTCAACGCACCTCTTGTCGCCCCTCCTCCCCATCAGCCCCGGGCAGCAGCAGCAGCATCATGCGGGCCAGCACAGCAGTGCTCGTACGGCGGCGGCGGCGCAGAGATCGAGTCATAAAGGTCCCTCAGAGCGTCGTAGAGAGGGCGCGCGGCAGTGGGCTGTGCGATGCGGCCAAAGAGGATGTCGGTGGTGGTGACTGGCATGCCGTAGAAGCGCCGATTCACCGATGAGCATGACGCCACCACGCTCGACTCCCATGACATGCCCACGAATGCTCCTGAAGGGGAAGGGAAGGGAGGGGCAGAGCGGGAGAGGCGGAGGGGACGAGCGGGGAAAGGGGGTGGAGGGGGGGGAGCGGGGGGGGAACAGGGTGGAGAGAGTGAAGGGGGTGGGGAGGTACGGGGAAGGTGGGGATGGGATAGGCATGAGGTCCCTGAGGGCGTGGTAGAGGCGATGCGGCCAAAGAGGATGTCGGTGGTGGTGACTGGCATGCCGTAGAAGCGCCGGTTCACTGACGAGCATGACGCCACCACGCTGGACTCCCACGACATGCCCACGAATGCTCCTGGGGTTGGGGAGGGAGGGGCGGAGGAGCGGAGCGGGAGGGGGAGGTAGAGGGGAGGAGGGGGGTGCAGAGCGGGGGGGGAAGAAACGGGGGGATGGGGAAGGGGATGGAAATAGGAGTAGGATGGGGCAAGCGAGTCATACAGGTCCCTGAGGAGAGCGGGCACGCCGTGGTGGGCACACACAAACACACACACACTCACACAACCACAACCCCACCCCCTCTCCCTCCCTCCCCTTCCATACACCCACCCACCCACTCAAACTCACCTTGCACGTGGAGGAGCCTCCGCCACCAGCCCGCACCGCACGTCGAGTTTGCACCAGCAGCAAGCAGCCAACACACACATACCCTTGCTGCAGCTGTACACATAGCAGCACGTGGAGTGGAGAAGCCCGCGCCACTGCCACCCAGCCTCATTTCAGGCTGCCTCAATAACATCACTGCACGTTGCATCACCAGCAACACACACGCACGCATGCAAACACCCACCCTTGCTGCAGCTGTACGTGTAGCAGGTGGAGAAGCCCGTGCCCCCTGCCCGCACGTCTGCCTCCACAGCGCGCCCCACGGGCCCGGCAGCAGCGCTGGCAGAGGCGCCCACGGCCACGTGGTAGCGGCTGCAGAAGGCCTTCATTGCCTCGAGGCTGCGAATCACCACTATCAGATCCGCGATCTCACCACCCATCTGAGGAGGTGCAGGGATGTGGAATGGAAGCGGGGAGGGGAGAGGAGGAGGGGAGAGAGAGGGTCGGGACGCAGGAACAAGATGCTTGCACGGCCACGCAGGGTCTTCACGATCTCCAAGCCACGAAGGGCAAGGCAAGCAGCAGTGAAGGTGAGGGAGGGAGGCCATGGCATGGCCCCACGGGCCTGGCAGCAGCGCTGGCAGAGGCGCCCACTGCCACGTGGTAGCGGCTGCAGAAGGCCTTCATGGCCTCCAGGCTGCGAATCACCACTATCAGATCCGCGATCTCCCCGCCCATCTGGTGAGGGGGGACCGGCGGGGGACGGATGGGGTTGGGGTAAAGAGAAGGGGGAGAAAGGAGGGAGAGATTGTCAAGGAGGACAGTCAGAGCGGCTGCAGAAGGCCTTCGTGTCGTGGCCTCGAGACTGCGAATCACCACTAACAGATCCGCGATCTCCCCGCCCATCTAGGGAGTTGAGGAACCGGGAGGCAAGTGATGGGGTTGGGGTTGGGGTGAAAGGAGGGGAGGCACGGGAGGATTCGTCAGGGGGGACGGAAGATTGGCCTTCATGGCCTTCACGCGGCACAAGCAGCCCCGTGCCCACTCGGTACATCAGTCACCCCCACGCCCCGTCTCCCCTCCCCCACGCCCCAAACTCATCCCCTGTCAGTGCCAAACCCCATAGAACCCTGAAAACCATTGTCTCAGTCACCCCACCCCACCAACACGTCCCAAACCTCCCCCGCCCCCTCCCCACTCCCCTCCCCCCAGTCCTCCCGCGCACCTGTGCGCCCCAGCCCATGCCAGCAGTGGCGATCGCAGAGGGAGCGCTCCACTGGCGGTCGGGCTTGAGGCACACCACTAGCCCCGTGCCCACTCGGTACGTCACCCCCACGCCCGCCTTGGCCACCGTGAGAATCGCCAGCCCCACCGCGCCACCCAGCACTGCTGCAGGGATTGAGCGCTCCGGGTTCAGCCTTCCCACCTGCAGGAATACGAGGGGGAAGGTAAGGAGAGGCGTTACTTAGAGTTCTCATACGCACCTCTGAATCGCCAGCCCCACCGCGCCACCCAGCACTGCTGCTGGGATTGAGCGCTCCGGGTTCAACCGCCCCACCTGAACGGCAGGGGAGCGGGGTGAGGGGAAGTAGGAGGGAAGGAGATGGGAGGGGACGGACGGGACGGGAGGGGGAGGGGAAGGGAGGGGAGGGGGAAATGAGAGGGGAAGGCGGAGAGAAGGGGGTGGTGTATGGGATATAAACTACAGCAGGAGCTTCAGGCACACCACTAGCCCTGTGCCCACCCGGTACATCATTCAACGTCATTCAACTAAGGTAGGAGCACAAGTCATTCAAGGCAACACTACGGTTGAAAACAAGGAGAGCGTACCGGCAGGCCGTTCAGTGCGCAGGTTCTGTCGCCTCTCATCTCATCTCAGCTTCTGTGGCTAGAACAGCCATGAGAAGGACAGGAAGAGGGAAAGAGGCAGCAACGGCACAAAACACGCCCAAACCAAGGACCACTCCCCACGCCAACAGAAAAAACCCCCATCAGAAACTGGCACATAAACACTCTACCCCACGCACCTGGGAGTACCCGCGGAGCGTGTTCGTGGCCTTGAAAATCTCCTCCTGCAGGCTCCACGCGAGCGGGTTATTCACCCACGCGCGCACGCTAGTTGCATCGGTCACATCGTGCAGTGCGCGCTGTGCTGCGCCTGCCACGGTGACGACGAGCTGCGGCTGCAGCGGCTCCAGCTGGTCGTAGCAGCGGTCGCACACGCGCTGGGGCTCAGATTCCCGGAAGAGCGGAGGCAGCAGGCACGTGCGCGCGCTGCAGTTGTGGCAGAGGAGCAACCCGCAGAACCTGTAACGAGGGGAAGGTGGGGGTTGAGGGACGTGGGCGTGAGGAGGGGCGAAGGGGCAGAAGGAGAGGAAGGGGCGGAAGGGGTTTTGAGGCGTTTGGAACCACTAGTAGCATCCGTCACATCGTGCAGTGCGCGCTGCGCTGCGCCTGCCACGGTGACGACGAGCTGCGGCTGCAGCGGCTCCAGCTGGTCGTAGCAGCGGTCGCACACGCGCTGAGGCTCAGACTCGCGGAAGAGCGGACGTGCGCGCACTGCAGTTGTGGCAAAGGAGCAACCCGCAGAACCTGTGGTGGTGAGGGGCGTGAGGGGTGAGGGGTGAGGGGTGAGGGGTGAGGGACGTGGTAGTGAGGAGCGACGGGAGGGGAGGAGAGGGGGAGGAAGGCAGAGAGAGCAGAAGAAGGGAAGCTGGGAGGGGAAACGCCGGAAGCGAGGAAGCAAGAGAGGGGAACAAGGGAAGCGAGAAACGGGATGACAAGAGTGACAGAAAGTTAGAGCGGGGGGTAGGGGGTGGGGGGTTTCAAGGGGAGGGAGGAGTGGAGAGACAGGGCAGGGAGCTAGGGGAGGGATGGGGAGAGAAGAGCACGAATACACAATGGAGTCGATAGATGGAGGGGAATGAGCGAGGGAGGCAACAGCAGTGACGGCGGCGGCGGCGGCGGCGTCGGCAGTGGCAGCAGTAGCAGCAGCAGCAGCAGCAGCAGCAGCAGCAGCGGCGGCGGCGGCGGCGGCGGCGGCGGCGGCGGCGGCGGCGGCGGCGGCAGCAGCAGCGGCAGCAGCAGCGCCACAGACCTGCAGTGGTGTCTGGTGCGCACGAGGGGTCGAAACGCTTCTTCACACACCATGCACCTCGTAGACCCGCTGTCCGGCACCCACTCGGGCATTGACGCAAGTCTTGCAGCGCTTCAAAACTCACCTGCAGTGGTGTCTGGTGCGCACGAGAGGCCGAAACGGCTCCTCACACACCATGCACCTCGTAGACCCGCTATCCGGCACCCACTCGGGCGGCAGTGCCGCCCACAGCTCATCAAACGTCCTTCCCCCTACCGCTCCGCCCACTCCTCCGCCCACCATTCCGCCCATCCCTCCCCCTATCCCCCCTTCCCAAGGCGCAACCTCCCCATCGCGTCCCCAAAGCCCAGAACCGCTTCCCCCATCGTCCTCCCCCGCATCCTCCCCCCACCCCGCGCCGTCCAAGTGCGCGGGAGCGCTGGGCGCATGCAGCGGCGCCCATAGCCCCCCCTGCCCGCCCTGCTCCCCCTGCCCCTGCTGCTGCAGCTGGTAATCCTGCGCGAACCCTGGCGGAGGCGCTTTACCATTAACGAATCCTTGGTAGTGAGGATGCGCCTGAATCGCTGCTGCATCTGATCTTCCCCTCCTTCCGTTCCCCCCGCGGAGCCATGTGCCTTCAATAGGCGGACTCCCATCATCCCCTTCATCCGCGCTGCTTGCGCCGATTCCACCGCCGCTGGCGGGTGAAGCGGAGGGCGCGGAGGGGTGCGGGGCGTAGAAGAACTGTTCGCGCTCGCGCGCGCGGCTTTTAACACGATCCACCATGCTGCTAAACACCCCGCGCATGGCGCGCGCGCCGCTGCTGCCGATGCTGGAGGCGATGCTACTGCCGCCGCCAATCGCGCCGCCAATCGCGCCGCCAATCGCGCCGCCGATGGCGCCGCCGACGTGCGGGCCGGGGAAGCCGTTGTGAGGGCTGGGGAAACCGCCGTACGCGGCGGACGGGGGGAAGGAGTTGTTCCCCCCGGGGGAGGGACCGGTGGCGGAGCGGAGGGGCGCGGAGGGAGGCTGGGCACTGGTCGGATAGAGCGGAGAGTTGCAGGGGACTCGCATGGCCCTCCCTCGCTGCAACGGGTAGGATAGGATTTGGTGGAGAATGGGTGGGGAAACACACGAAGGGAAGGTGCAGAGTTGGTTGTACAAATGCTGCGCGCGAGAAGGGAAGAGGCTAAGATGCAGAGGCGGGAGGAAGGGAGCGACAGGGATACAGACTAAGCAGCTTGAGTGAGGATGCAGAGAAGAAGAGAAAATCGTTCGAGGACGATAATACATGAAAGGCACGTGCACACGCACCATAGCAGCGGCCGCTGCCGCACTCGCCTCTTCCGCTGCTCGCTCCGCGACCTCCGTCCGCTCCTTCTCCTTCTCCAGCTCCCGCGCAGCGCGCCGAGCCTCGTCCTGCGACCGCTGAATGTTCGCCAGGGCGTCGCGCAGGTCGCAGTTGAGCTTGATGACCATCGTCTTGCGAAACGGCGCGCGACAGATGGGGCAGTGGGGCGACACCTGCGACCGCTGCACCTGCTCGCACGCTCGCAGGCACGGACGTATGCACGCACACACGCACGCACGCACGCAGAAAACACGGCTGCCATCAACTCTCGTTGTTGTGGACGCATCCCAGCTCGCATCACTCGCTACGTGCAAGGCGGGGGCGAGAAAGACAAAGTACCGCACCAGAAAGAAAGCAGCAGCAAAGAAACAAAAAACCAAGTCACGCAGGCCTGGCAAAGAGCCAGGCGCGGGGAGGGGGGATAGGGAGAGGGTGGTACGGAAAGCGGGGGATAAGGACGACGGGGGGGAGGAACGGCAGAGGATTGAGGAAGAACAGAAGCAGAGGATTAAGGAAGGGAAGAGGAGTGTGACCTGCAGGAGGCAGTCGAGGCAGCCGTTGTGGCCGCACGGCAGCGACGACGGGCCGCCCTTGGTCCCCAGCACCTGCAGGCATATCGCACACGCTGGCGCCTCCTGACACTCCGCGTCCGCGGATGACGAGGAGGATGCGGAGGAGGAAGAGGAGGTAGAGGTGGTGGTGGTGATTGCGGGGAGGGACGGTGGCGGGGGTGGGGACGGGGACGGCGACGGAGACTCGGCTCGACTGGGCGACTCGTGAAAGGAGTTGGCACCGATGCCGAAGGAGTCGCGTCGAGCGCGCGAGTCGGAAAAGGGGTTTGGCGGGAACGCCGGCGCGTCGGACGGCGGCGGCGAGTGAGAAGGCATGGAGGTGAGGACGGGGGTGGTAGACCTTCCCTGCGCGAGGAGGGACGACTCGACCGACTCCATGAATTCGTCCATGGCGGACTTGCAGACGGGATGTGTGCGACAACGGCGACGGGCACTGCGACGACGGCAACGGGCACTGCGACAACGGCGACGGATACTTCGATGCGCACGGCGACGGGTACGGCGACGGGTGGAAGGGCACGGGCGAACGCAGATAGACTAGACGCGAAACCTGGGAAGAAGCAGCGAGAACGTGGACAGAACGACGGATGGACGAGAATCGCGACGAGGAGGTGAGTTAACGAACGTCGATTGTACACTGCGTGTTTTTAGCAATAAATAGAAGAGAAGGCGGAAATGAGAAAAAACCGCGAAAATTATTCAAGTGAAAAGGAAGGAAGCGGACAATGACACGAAAGACGATAAGGAAATATCAGGGAGATAAGTGGGAGATATACACCATCATGCTAAACGGGCTCGTTGCGCAAGGTAATAATGAATACCTAGAAATTCATCTAAAAGTGATAGAAACAGAAAAGTGTGAATCTCGTCGTCAACAAGTAGGTGCATCACGCATCTCGTCAATACGTAGGTGCTGTATTGTCACACAACAAAACGCTGAGACCGCGTGGCAGATGCTCAGAAGGACTACTGCTAAGTACCTCAGAGAACTGACCTAACCGCACGGAAATTTGCACATCGCCGTGAAGAAGTCTTGATCAGGCAGCCATGGATTTGGGGAAAGCCACTTCACGCCACACTGAGAACCCCCGTGCGATAAGACGTCCAGTAGCTCGCATCATGACATGATGGCTAGGGTTGAGTTGAGAAATCCGCTCGGGCAAGATAAGGGTCAAAGATAGAAATGGTGCTGTACTGTGAGATGTGGCTCGCTTTGGTGTTGTTCGATGTGGTTTGCTATGGTGCGGTGACGAATGGATGATGGCAAAGGAAGAGAACCAAAAGGCGACTGCAGCCTCACAGGTTTGTGATAGTAGCGAAGGGAGAGCGCCATTGGCGGAAGGCGTGGCATGCAGCACGGTTGGTTCGTTTGCTGGATTGGCTTGGCTGTCTTGTCTTCGGGGTTTGGGCTGGTCCGTGTGTGTGAGGTCGGGGTGGTTTTATTCCGACAGGGTGCAATGTGATTCCCGTTATAGTGTGACATTGAGTATTTACATGGTCTCAAACTTGTGTGCAACCTTCAGCAGATCCACTTGTGTTCCACCTTTGTGTACCATCAGATGCTACTCTGCCAGACACCAGAGTTTGGCGTTCGGGCATATGTAGTAGAGAATCATCTTTAGTCATAATATAACGTGGATATCTTTATAACTAAAAGCAACACAATGATTGTAGCAATTGTCCCTATATTACCCAAGCTATTGCTCTTGCTAGCAATTAGCTGTTGGGTTGGGACTCTATGAAATGCAACAGCCTCTAACGAATAAGCGAAAATTGGGGCCAGCTGCCATACCTCGCCATTCACAATGCGAGGTACCGCAGCGCTCGTGCATGTGTCGCGCTGACTGTCTTCGACTGCTGTCTCGCCTTCTAGGAACTTCAGTTTCCTTCTAACGCGCTCCGAATGCGCGATTTGCTTTATTACACGAGTTTCGCTAGAATGGCTCGGCCTCCCTCACCCGATTCTAATTTGCACGATTACTTGGTTGCGTGTTATGACTTGATTCTCACCCACTTCGATCTTGCGTGCTGTCGGTATACAAGCATACGCAAAAGGACACGACTCGTTACTTACTTCTATTCGAATTCCTCGCCTGCTATTTTCACGCTCTCTTAGAGCCTCCATTCTCTGGTAGCTTGTCCGTCGTAGTTAGCACCTCCAAACTTGTGAGCCATCATGTGCTTCGACGGCTTTATCCTCCCTGTCTGCATCGAGTGTGGTACTCCAGATAATCCTTGCCGGTGCAAGGTACGGTTTCAACCGTGTTATTTTCGCCGTTTCATGTGCTGTTTGGTGTCCTTGTGCTGCCAGTTTAGATAGCCCCAAGTTGCACGGAATCAGGGATAGATTGGTGCGTTGCATTGCACTGAACGCCGTTCTTTGCCTTCGCCTTTCGTGTGCCTGTGACAGATCGTCGGACCCACGCTAGCTTTCGTCTTCATGGTAGCTGCAGCCGTGGTTGAGTGGCCCGTGGGAGCTGCTGTTTGGGTGTGCAATCACAAGGCAGGACGAAAAATCATGGGGCAGCCAGTGATGTCTGTGTACCCGAATGTTAATAGAGCTATACCGTTTTGATAAACTATGTTACATGGACAAGATACCTTGGTTTAGGTGATGTGAGCTTGGTTTAGGTGAGTGATGTGATTCTTCCTCATTGAAAAGGGCTGTCAGTGTTTAGGTGTCACCCCTGAATGAAAATAACCATGGTAGTATGGAGGGTGTCTACGGGTTTGAGGGAAGGGGTAGGAAGTCGGGATTCGCGAAAGGTAGGCTAGTGCGAAAAATATGGGGGGACATGTTTGACGAGATAAGCTACCGAACACTTGGGGTGAAACAAATACCACAACTTGGTAACCTCATACTCACGACTTCGCAACACACAAAGTTATCTAGCCAGGTCGGGTCCGCATATCGTCCACCACTCACCAAGCGGCTGTCCGAAAGCGGATTGTCGTTGCTGAACCGTGACGCAAACATCCGGACCGGACCGCAAAGCGAACCCGTGGTGACCAGACCACATCCGGACCAGACCGCAAATATCCAGCCAGCAACTGTGGGACAGCCCTCCCCCTGAACACGCAAGGCGCGAGACACACCTCGGTTCCTCCGAATATTTTCCGAATATTTTCCGCCTAGCATTCTCGTGAACGCCAATCGCGCTACGATTGCCACCTGTGAGCCCTCGGCCGCCTGCGCCGTCACTGTCACTCGCGAGCCACGCCGGTTCGCGTAAATCGATGAGGATTTGGTTGTCGCACCTCAGTCCTCGCAGATCGGCAGCAAATCTCACCGTTTTTTTTCTTCTTCTTTTTTCGTCCACCTTACCGTTTTCTTTAAGCGCTAATCCGTTCAGCACTCTCGTCGTCATCCAAGGCACCCAAGCGCCCTGCTTTATTAGGAATAAAATCCATGGCTCTCGAGCTTCCGTCAGTCGCGGCGATCGCCACCGTCTCTCGCCCCGCGCCGCCCGTCTCACCTCCTCCGAACCTATTCGCCGTCACGGGCTTTAAACCGTTCATGGGGGTGGCTCATAACCCCACAGAAGCAATTGTGCGCGCGCTGCCTGCGTATTTGGCGGAGCAGAAAGCGCTTCCGGAGGGGTGGGCGCTGGGGTGCTGCTGCGTGCTGGAGACCGCGGGGAAGGGGTACCTTCCGCAGCTGCTGCGCATCCTCGACAATCCCGAGGGCCTTCCGTTGTCACCCGCGCCTAGAGGGGAAGGCGCGGAGGAGTCAGGCGGACGGGGGGCGGAAGGGGCAGGAATATGGGGGAGATTTGTGGGGAAAGGCGGAAGGCGGATGGCGTTGGGGGAATCGGCGCACTCGGGGAGCGCGGAGGGGGGAGTGGGTGCATGTGCGGGAAGGGGAGGGGAAGGGGAGGCAATGAAGAGCGCGGAGGGCGCTGCAGGATCCGCCCATCCAGCGGGAGTGGCGGAGGGGACGGGCGCAAAGGGGAGAGAGTCAAGACCGTGCGAGGGAGGCATGGGCAGAACAACAGAAACGAATGGTGGAAGACGAGTGATATGGGTGAGTGGGGTGGTGTGGGTGAGAGAGAGGGGGAAAACGATCGCCACGGGGAGGGGATGAGAGAGATGAGATGAGAGGGGGGAGTTGGTCGGGGGACGAGGAAGGGGATTGGTTGAGTTTCGGCTGCTTCTGTGCGGTTCGGCTTGGGTCCTCTGGTTCGGCTGTTGTTCCTGTGGTTCCCTCCTGCTCTGCCAGTTGTTTAGCGATTCTCAGGAATGGAGCAGCGGTGCTTCAGCAATCGTTTGGCATAGAATAGCTGTTTTAGAAGAGCAGGGTTCAGCGATCGTTAGTAGAGAAAATTGCAGCAATTTTCTCAGCAATTAGCGCACGCCTTTAACGTGACCAAACACCCAGCAGTTGCATCTTCTCCGCTGTGTGCCTTCCCATCTTCTCTTGAGACGTCTCAAAAGACCTCTCCGCTCTACCAGTCAAAGGACTCATCTACCAGTCGGTCGGTCTTTGTGTTGCTCCGAGTTCTTGCCTGCAAATTCCATGCATTCCCTGTCCTCCCTTCCGCCCACTTCCGCTCCCCCTCCCACCCCCAACCTAATGCTGTCTGTTGTCCATGCTCACCCACACGTGTATTCTGTGCTGTGTGTGTGTGTCTGTGTGTGTGTGTGTGTGTGTGTGTGTGTGTGTGTGCGTGCGTGCGTGCGTGCGTGCGTGTGTGTGTGTGTGTGTGTGTGTGTGTGTGCTCTGTGAGTGCGCTGCTTGCGTTCGCTGTGTGTGTGCGTGCGTGCGTGCGTGCGTGCGTGAGTGTGCGTGCGTGTGTGTGTGCGCACGTGGGCGTGAGCAGGTGCATCTGGGGGTGAACAGCGGGGCATCACTAATAGCAGTGGAGCGCCAGGCAGCCAACGAGGCCACCTTCAGATGCCCCGATGAGATGGGCTGGCAGCCTCAGGTGGGCTTGTTTGCCCCAAGTGGGGTTGTTTTGCTCAGGTGGGCTGGCACCCTCAGGTGGGCACATGCAAGGAAGCACGTCTTGAAATGGTGGGCTGGCAAACAGGGATGCGCAAGGAAGGTATACTTTGAGAATTCCTCAAACAGAAATGCTTTCTAGCTGGCAGCCTTGGCTTGCTTCCGTGAGCCCTGAGCAGGGGGGTGGGTGGTAACTTCAGCCTTGCTGTTGAATTGACTCTTCACTTCTGCATTTACTGTTTTTTTTTTCCTAGTCAGTTGTCTTCTGTGTTGTCTGGTTTTGTAGTTTGATTTGCGTTAATTGTTTCTTGCCTCTGTCCCGTGGCACATGTACAGAAAGAGGCAATAGCACCAGAAGATGGCCCAATCACAGTCATCAGACAGGTGGGTTGCGGTGGCATGGGATGCGATGCAATGCAATGCAGTGTGGTGCAATGCCATGTCACGCGATTCCACGTGATGCAGTGTTTTATGACAGTGTATTGTTGCCCATTCTCTTTCTTGTCTCCCTTCCCATCATTCTCCACCCTGTGCCTTTCCCCCTTCCCTGCCCTTTCCCCCTGCCCTGCCCTTTCCCCCTGCCCTTCCCTTTCCCCCTGCCCTGCCCTTTCCCTTGCCCTGCCCCTGCCCCTGCCCCTGCCCCTGCCCCTGCCCGCAGTCCACCCTACCTGTCCTGAACCTAGTGAGCACGCTTCAGCAGCGTGGCTTCTCTGTGCTCTCCTCCCGTGACGCTGGGCGCTTTGTCTGCAACTACGTCTACTACCAGTCACTGCGCCATGCCGCCCTCCTCTCCTCCTCCTCCTCCTCCCCTTCCTCCTCCTCCCCCGCCCCTTCCTCCGCTTCCTCCTCTGACTCCCTGCCACATGCTGTTACTGCCACCACCCCACCAACTAGTTCTAGTGCTACCAGTGTCTCTAGCGAGGTAGGAACTGAAGTTACACCAACAGCAGCAGCGTCAGGAGCAGCAGCTGCAGCGCCGGCAGCAACAGCAACAGCATCAGACACGAAGCACCATCCACACGCCAACTCCAAACCGTCACTGCAGGCCCTGCAACAACACCCACAGCGCGTGCCACACATGCCACACGTGCCACCGCAAGAGCCGCAAGTGCCACGGGTGCAGAGTGTGTTTGTGCACATGCCCACGTTCGACACCATTGCAATGGACGCCCAGATGCGCTTCGTAGCAGCCCTCCTGGAGCTCCTCGCATCCACATAAACTATGGTGTGCTGGGGTTACGTTACTCGCTAACGCCCCTGCTGCCCCTCCCTCTGCTGCTGCTGCTGCTGCTGCTGCTGCTTCTGCTGCTGCTGCTGCTGCTGCTCCTGCTGCTGCTGCTGCTGCTGGTGTTGCTACTGCTCGTAGGAACCCAGGGATTGCTGTTTCTAATGGGAAAGTAGGATCTGGGTGGAATGGGTTGAGACTGGCGTGCGTATGAATGAGTTGCTTGCGGTGCGGGTGCATTTGCATATACGGTACAGTCCATTCACACACGCAAGACGCCACGAGTACCACAGAATAAGTGTAAAAATGGTATTTTCGAGGCGCCTCAAAAATATGATTTGAGTTGTTTCATGGGCAGCCAGTCGCCCATGCCCAGTTCCCTGCTCTTGCGTTGACATAGGTACCATACCAATTTCAGGACTGATAGGCCTCACATCACATCACATCACATCACGTCACATCACCACTGACAACAGGAAGAAACACAGACTCTTTGTGCCTTCATGAGTTGGGCTGTGTGTGAAGCCACCTCACGTATGCACACGCCCTTGCTTGCATTGACGTCGGGATTTTGTACAAAAGTGACACCACGAAATTGCCATAGGCAAGAGGAAGGTTACCGTATCCTACAGGTGTTGTTGAGCCACCTGCAACGTACATGGTACCGTACGTACCATATACCGAAACCAGTACCAGACCAGAGCCAATGCCATTCCTTTCTTATGGAAGAAGGGAAATATCGAATACCGTATGGTACTGGTATATGGATGGAGATACCATGTACTGGTGTGGTGCCAGTTGCATGCACTACAAAGAGCGTTCCTGGACAATACCGGTACTTTTCGTACTCATCAGCTGACAAGGCCTGCCCGAATGAATTTGAAATAAGGGAGGGAATCGAACACATCAAAATCCGGTGTTCCATATGCACCTATCCATCTCTTGATTCATCCTCTTTACTGAGTGATCTGGTAACAGCAACCCGAGCCCCTGCTCTGCGAGCAGCCGCTGCCAGAGCAGCATCAACCGCTGCTGCTGCTGCAGCCATGGGGTTGATCCCGCCAAAGAACCCCGGAAAAACGCCTGTTTGTGCTGCTTGTGCTCCTTCTGCTGCTTGTGCTGCTTGTGCTGGCTCTGATGCTTCGGCTGGTGCTGTTCCTTTGCCGGTTGCCACTGATGCTGCCACTGGTAAAGATGCTGCTGCAGAGGAACTGCCTGCCGCTGCTGATGGTGTTGGTGCCGGGATTACGACCGCTGCAACTGCCACTCCTCCTACTTCTCCTCCCCTTGATCCTGCAGCTTCCCCTCCCATCACTGCCCCCCCTGCTTCCCCTCCCACCGCTGCTCCCCCTGCTGCCTCTGCTCCCCCTGTTTCTTCTGCTCCTCCTACTCTCCCTCCTCCTGCTCCACCTGCTCTCTCTCTGCCTCGCTCCTCAGAACGAGCACCTGTTCTGCCTGTGGGCCACGCAGCGACAGCAGGAATTTCTCTCCTCCTTGCAAAGAACGCCCATGCTTCTCCTGCTGCTCCTGACTGCACTGCCGCTGCTGTGGCTGCTGCTGCTGGTGCTGCACTCTCTCCCATGGTGCCGTTGCCCCCACGTTTCTGCAGCTCCTGCTGCTGCTGTCTGTGCTGCTGTGTGCGCTGCTCCGTGTGCTGCTGTGCATGTTGCCCCGTGTGGTGTTGTGTGTGCTGCTCTGTGTGCTGCTGTGTGTGCTGCTCTGTGTGCTGCTCTGTGTGCTGCTGTGCACGCTGCTGCAGCAAGTTATCACCAGAAACAACCTCATCCAGGCCATGTGAAGTACCATGGCTTACTGTCGACTGCCCTCCTACTGCTGCTGCTGCTGCTGCTGCTGCTGCTGCTGCTGCTGCTGCTGAAACCGATGCTTCTGCTGTTCCTGTTGTTATCCCTCCTGCTCCTCCTCCTCCTGCCACTCCTCCCTCCAACCCCACATCCCTCCCATCTCCCACTTCCACCGTAGCCAGATTCTCAAACGCACAGGCCAAGGACCCAACAGCACTGTGTGGCGGTAAATGCGAGTCAGCAGCCACAAATCCCCGAGGACTCATGGAAGCTTCTGCTGGTGCAGAAGGCAAAGAATGCAGTTCATTGGTGGGGCTTGATCTCCCTGGTCCAGTAGGATCAAATGTAGCCGACACTTGTTGAGCAGGAATTTGTTCAGGTGGCGCCTCAAGGGGTGCAGCAGGGTCAGGTATAGCAGAGGTTTGTGGGGGAGAAACGGAAGAGTCCGGATCAGTTACAAGTTGAATCGTCCCCACACCCACATGGGGCGGAGACTGCGGCTGAGATCGGAACGAGCCATCATTCCCCGTCTGGCATGGTGGTTGCGCTGTGCTAGAGCCCACCAGCAGCAGCAGTAGCAGCAGCAGCAGCAGAAATAGCGGCAGCAGTAGCAGTAGCAACGGTGGTGGCGCCATTAGTCCCGTCCGGTGGGACCATTCTTGCATCAACAGAGTCACCAGGCGCGGCAGCAGCACCTGTTGACTCCCTCTCATCCCCTCTTGCGCTTGTGGTGCCACTGATCCCTCCTGCTGCTTCCATCCTTGCATCAATGGGGGGAGTGGCTGTGGCACACAAGGGTGCAGGCATGGGATTGTAACTGGAAGGACTCTCAGGAACGGACAGGGTGGCAGGTGAAGGTGCCGTTGGTGTTGCCGCTGGTGTTGTTGCTGCTGTAGCTGTTGATGTTGCAGTTGCCGCTGGTGTTGCTGTTGCTGTTGGTATTGATTGTGGGTATGTATACCCAAATTCTTTCTCTGCTGTATGCCTTGATTCCTGTGTGTCGCATTCGCCCACAATTGCTTCTCTCGCACTAGAAATCTGCACTCTCTTTCCTGCTACCGCTGCTGCTGCATCTCCCCTCCCTTGCACTGCTGCTGCCTCTGCTACTGCAGATGCTCCTGCTCGTTCAGTTTCTGCTGGTACATCTGAATTGTCTCTCAACTCTGCTGCTGCTGTTGCTGCGGCCATTGACAATGTCTGATCAGGCCCAGCAGCAGATGATAATTGTGCTGCCTCTGGTTGTGCTGCCCCTGGTTGCATTAATGATGGTCCTAAGACTGTTAACGGTCCTGTTAATGCTGCTGCTACTGCTGCTGCTGCTGCTGCTGCTCCTTGCACTGGTGCTGCTGTTGCTTGTACTGGTGCTGCTGGTGCTGCTGGTGCTGCTCCGGCTGCCGCTGCTGTTGCTTGTCCTGGAGCCATGTCAGGTGCTTGTGCTGAAACGCCTGATTGTGTTACTGAACCTAGTCCTGCAGTCTCAACCGGTCTTGCCATTGCTGTTGGTGGCCGTGGTACTGGTGCTGCTGCTGCTGCTGCTGCTGCTGCTGCTGGTGCTACTGCTGCTGCTGCTGCTGCTGCTGCTGGTGCTGCCACATCAACTGCTGATGACTGCAGAAAGACTGACCAGTCTTCTCGGTCACTGCTGCTGCCGCCGATATTGATTCTAAAACTGTCGTTCCCACTGGTGCTACCATCGCCACTGCCACTGGTACCAGCTGCTGCTGCACCAGCAGCAGAGGATGAGACAGATGGAAAGAGGTGGTTGCTGAAAAAACTCTGCTGCTGCTGCTGCCCGAAAAAAGAACTGTGACCGGCTTTTGAGGGTGCAATGGAGGAGGCTAGATTGGTGGCCGTGGCAGCGGCGGTGGTGGTTGGATAATCAGACAATGTAGAGAGGAGCTGCGAGGCGGGATCAGCTGCAGAGGAGGAGGCAGCAGGTGGAGGAGAAGAAGACTGATTCACCAACTCTTGCTGCCACTGCTGCTGCCACTGCTGCTGCCACTGCTGCTGCCACTGCTGCTGCCACTGCTGCTGCCACTGCTGCCGCTGCTGCCACTGCTGCTGCCACTGCTGCTGCCACTGCTGCTGCCACTGCTGCTGCCACTGCTGCTGCCACTGCTGCTGCCACTGCTGCTGCCACTGCTGCTGCCACTGCTGCTGCCACTGCTGCTGCCACTGCTGCTGCCACTGCTGCTGCCACTGCTGCTGCCACTGCTGCTGCCACTGCTGCTGCCACTGCTGCTGCCACTGCTGCTGCCACTGCTGCTGCCACTGCTGCTGCCACTGCTGCTGCCACTGCTGCTGCCACTGCTGCTGCCACTGCTGCTGCCGCTGCTGCCACTGCTGCTGCCACTGCTGCTGCCACTGCTGCTGCCACTGCTGCTGCCACTGCTGCTGCCACTGCTGCTGCCACTGCTGCCACTGCTGCTGCTGCTGCCACTGCTGCTGCCACTGCTGCTGCCACTGCTGCTGCCACTGCTGCTGCCGCTGCTGCCACTGCTGCTGCCACTGCTGCTGCCACTGCTGCTGCCACTGCTGCTGCCACTGCTGCTGCCACTGCTGCTGCCACTGCTGCTGCCACTGCTGCTGCCACTGCTGCTGCCACTGCTGCTGCCACTGCTGCTGCCACTGCTGCTGCCACTGCTGCTGCCACTGCTGCTGCCACTGCTGCTGCCACTGCTGCTGCCACTGCTGCTGCCACTGCTGCTGCCACTGCTGCTGCCACTGCTGCTGCCACTGCTGCTGCCACTGCTGCTGCCACTGCTGCTGCCACTGCTGCTGCCACTGCTGCTGCCACTGCTGCTGCCACTGCTGCTGCCACTGCTGCTGCCACTGCTGCTGCCACTGCTGCTGCCACTGCTGCTGCCACTGCTGCTGCCACTGCTGCTGCCACTGCTGCTGCCACTGCTGCTGCCACTGCTGCTGCCACTGCTGCTGCCACTGCTGCTGCCACTGCTGCTGCCACTGCTGCTGCCACTGCTGCTGCCACTGCTGCTGCCACTGCTGCTGCCACTGCTGCTGCCACTGCTGCTGCCACTGCTGCTGCCACTGCTGCTGCCACTGCTGCTGCCACTGCTGCTGCCACTGCTGCTGCCACTGCTGCTGCCACTGCTGCTGCCACTGCTGCTGCCACTGCTGCTGCCACTGCTGCTGCCACTGCTGCTGCCACTGCTGCTGCCACTGCTGCTGCCACTGCTGCTGCCACTGCTGCTGCCACTGCTGCTGCCACTGCTGCTGCCACTGCTGCTGCCACTGCTGCTGCCACTGCTGCTGCCACTGCTGCTGCCACTGCTGCTGCCACTGCTGCTGCCACTGCTGCTGCCACTGCTGCTGCCACTGCTGCTGCCACTGCTGCTGCCACTGCTGCTGCCACTGCTGCTGCCACTGCTGCTGCCACTGCTGCTGCCACTGCTGCTGCCACTGCTGCTGCCACTGCTGCTGCCACTGCTGCTGCCACTGCTGCTGCCACTGCTGCTGCCACTGCTGCTGCCACTGCTGCTGCCACTGCTGCTGCCACTGCTGCTGCCACTGCTGCTGCCACTGCTGCTGCCACTGCTGCTGCCACTGCTGCTGCCACTGCTGCTGCCACTGCTGCTGCCACTGCTGCTGCCAATCATGCGCTTGCTCCTCCTCCTCCTCCTCCTCCTCTTCTTCTTCCTCTCCACCCCCCACCTCGTACTCGTCATCATCCTCAAAAGGGGATTTGTGGGCGTGCTGCTGCGACTGGTGGTTGATTCGGTAGTCTGGTGTGCCAAATGACTCGATGTCAATGCTGACAGATGGGGAGGGGTAAGAGGAGTGGGAGAGAGGCAAGGGGGTTTTGAGGCGACTCAAAACGAGCGCATGTTGCTGTGACTGGTGGTTGATTCGGTAGTCTGGCGTGCCAAATGACTCGATGTCGATGCTGACAGGTGGGGAGGGGGAAGAGGAGTGGGAGAGAGGCGAGGGGGTTATGAGTCGACTCAAAACGCGTGCGCGCTGCTGCGACTGGTGGTTGATTCGGTAGTCAGGTGTGCCAAACGACTCGATGTCAATGCTGGGAGGTGGAGAGGGGTAAGAGGGGCCGGAGGGAGGGAGGCGAGGAGGAGAAGGAGAGGTGAAGAGTAGGGGCAGGCAGGGGAGTGCTGGAAGAGAGAAAGGTGAGTGCGAGAAAATAACAGCCACATGCCTAAATGTTGATGCACACACTGGGGCACACACTGGGGCACACACTGGGGAACACACTGGGGCACACACTGGGGAACACACTGGGGCACACACTGGGGCACACACGACTTTTGATTTTTTTTTTTTTTGATTTTTTTTTTTTTTTTTGGGGGGGGGGGCTTCTGGGTGAACCCAGGAGGAACTCAGGCCCCTTTCCCACGCCGGTCAACCGAGAGTGCAGGTCCAGGTCGTTCGATACCTACCAAGCGACCACCTTGTCCCCGCCCTCCCCCCTCTCCCGTCCGGTTAACGAAGACAATCTTGGCAAATGCTTTCGCGGTTGATCGTCCTTCATTGTCCCAAGACTTTCACCTCTGGCAACAAAGTCCGAATGCCCCCGTTTTGTCCCGATTAACCCTTCGGTCCATGCGAAGGTACGTGCTCCCTAGGTCCAAGACTTTCACCTCTGTCCACGGAGCACGCCAATCCCTTAGCTATTCCCACTCACTCGTCCCCTACGTGGCTTCCCCTGAGAGGTTGGAGGTCTCCCTAGCCTTCCCCGTGTTGCGGAGGGTAGACACCTGGGTGGCAGAGATTTTCCAGGTAGTGCGGTGCCCCGCTAAAACCCCCACCAATCACCGTAGCGCGTGCCTCATTACAAGGACAGTCACGACTTTCGAGGCGCCTCAAAAGTCAAAGGTGAGCGCGGGAGGAATACAGCCACATGCCTGTGATACACCCAGTGTGTGCATGAAGATGTTCATGCACACACAAGGGCACACACACACGACTTTCAATTGTGATACACCTCAAAATGGGGAGTGTTGGGCAGCGGGAGGGAGGTGAAGGAGAAATGCGCCCACCCACAGGCACACCCACGGGCACACCCACGCACGTGTGCAGACTGAAGCAACCCACATCCCACATGCACATGCAAACGCACAAAACCTCCCCGTCTCCCCCCCTTTTCCCCCATCCTGGACACAACTAACTCCTGTCAAATTTTGGTAACCGTTTGAACAAGACTTGCAACACAGCAACGAAAAAAACACGTGGTGGGGATTTCACCGAACCTGGTATCAGAGCCCCACCCACCTGGTATCAGAGCCTCGGAGGCTGTTGAAGCGATACAGCCCTGCCACGGCCCCTTCTCCTCCCCCACGCGGCCCCTGCTGCTCCCCGCCTATGCGAGCAGACGAGGAGGGCAGCAGCAGCGCATCTGCGTTCAACTCTCCCTCCATGCCCTCCATGCCTTCTACGTAAAGGAAAGGTTGGCTCCAGGAGCGGGAAGGTGACGGCAGTGCTGTGAGCTGCTCCGTGAAGTAGCGCCGCTTTATTAGCTGGGCGAGGTGGAAGGGAAGGGGCGGGGAGAGGGGCCGTAGGAGTGGGATTAACATAGAGGAACGGCTAGCTCCAAGAGCAAGAAGGTGACGGCAGTGCTGTGAGCTGCTCTGTGAAATAGCGCCGCTTTATTAGCTGGGAGAGGTGGAAGGGGAGAAGAAAAAGGGGGGGAGGGAAGGCGAGAGGTGGGGGAGATTAACGCGAGAGTGTTACTCAAAGAAGGCGATGGTAGTGCTGTGAGCTGCTCTGTGAAATAGCGCCGCTTTATTAGCTGGGAGAGGTGGAAGGGGAGGAGAAGGGAGGGGGGAAGGCGAGAGGAACGGGGGATTAACGCGGGGTGATTTTTTAATTTTACTCAGAAGGAAATGGCAGTGCTGTGAGCTGCTCGGTAAATCAGCGTTGCTGACGGCTTCGACTGTTGCGAAGTCCAAGCGACACTGCTTTGCAGGCAAACTGCTGCTGCCACACCTGCTGCTGCTACCACAACCGCTGTTCATGCACCTGGTGCTCTGTGCTGGTGCTCTGCGTTGGAGACTTGTTGACTCACCTGCAGGAAGAAGGCGTCGACTGCTGCTAGGTCCAAGCGGCCCTGCTTTGCACACTGTGGCCGGGCACGCACAGGTAGCAGAGGAGAGGACACACAAGAGGGGCAAGCAGGAGGAGGAGGGGGAGGAGGAGGAGGAGGAGGAGGAAGAGGACACAGGTATGAGAGAGGAGAGTATGAGCGGCAGAAGGACCGAGCCTTGCAGGGGCCAAAGGGGAAGTGGGACCGGGTTTGAGGAAGCTAATTCAGAGACAGCAGAGAACAGCAGAGGCGCCTGTTCCAACTCTGCTTTGCTGCCACTGCTGCTGCTCTTCTTCCTTGCGTTTAACCGCACACATGCAGCAGAGAAGCAGCAGTTGCGTTTCAATCCCTCTCCCCTCCCCTCGACTCTCCTCCACTCCCCTCCCCTTCACTCCACTCCATTCCACTCCTCTCTCCTACGCTCGCCTCCACTCTCTTCGCCTCGCCTCCACTTCTTTCCCTCCACTTCCTCCGCTACCCGCCTCTCCATTCACCATAATGCACCGCACACCCCTAGGATTTAACAGGGACATATCACACACGGTACATAACCATCCACATTCAACCAACTCCCTCCTCTTCTTCCAAGAATCAAACGCCCACCCACTCACCGCAATGAGCCCGGCGCCTCTGGGATTGCGAATATACTCTGGCAGCTCGCCGCGCTTCCTCCTCCCAAACGACCTCAGCCCATACCGCTCCACCACGGTCTTGGCATGCTTCATCGCATACTCCAGCGCCCTGCTGCTCCTGGCGTCTTCTGCCCATTCTGCTGAAAACCCCACTCCATGCCCGACTCAACTCAAACACCTCCCCAGTCCTCTCAAACCCCACCCCACTCACCGCAATGAGCCCCGCGCCTCTGGGATTGCGAATATACTCGGGCAGCTCGCCCCGCTTCCTCCTCCCAAACGACCGCAGCCCATATCTCTCCACAACAGTCTTCGCATGCTTCATCGCATACTCCAGCGCCCTGCTACTTCTAGCGGCGCGCAGCAGCTTGACCCGCCCCTGCAGCTGCAGCACGGGGTCCTTATCTCGAAGGTCGTCCTTGTTGCCGATCACGAGTAGAGGGACTGGTAATTGGCCTTCACGGTGCCCGTGGGAGGGCGCGGAGAAGGTGCCGCTGCGGACCAGCTCGTCCATCCACTGGAGCGCCGCGACTCTCGACTTCCTGCGTGACAGGTCGTGCACGAAGATCACGCCTGGGGGAATTGGGGGAGGGGGAAGTGGGAGGGGTTGGGGGGGGTGGAGAACAGATGGTGGGGCATGAGGAGCACGATGGCGGCACGCAGCAGCTTGACGCGCCCCTGCAGTTGCAGCACGGGGTCCTTGTCCCGCAAATCATCCTTGTTGCCGATCACCAGGAGGAGGGGGACGGGGAGTTGGCCTTCACGTGACATTGAGTGGGAGGGCACGGAGACGGTGCCGCTGCGCACGAGCTCGTCCATCCACTGCAGTGCTGCGACTCTCGACTTTTTACGGGATAGGTCGTGCACGAATATGACACCTGGGGGAGGAGGGGGGCGTGCGGGGATGGGGACGGTGGGAGAGGGTGTGGGGGGAGAAGGGAGGGAAGGAGGGGGATGGGAGGGGCAGACGGTGGGGCATGAGGAGCACGATGGGGCGCGCGGCAGCTTGACTCTCCCCTGCAGCACAGGGTCCTTGTCCCGCAGGTCGTCCTTGTTGCCAATCACAGATTGTCCCCCACGCTGCTGCCTGCCTACGCTGCTGCCTACGCTGCTGCCTACGCTGCTGCCTACGCTGCTGCTTACCTGCTTGCGTCCTCCCCACGTGCCAGCGTGCCTGCCTCTTCCACCCAGTTCCCGCACCACCACTCACCCCGTTGGCTTTTGAGTCGACTCAAAAGTCAACCCCACCCAGTTCCCGCACCACCACTCACCCCTTCCCCCTGTACACGCACCGTTGATCTGATCATAGAAGAGTGAGCGCGACGACTTGTACTGCTCGCTGCCTGACACGTCCCACACCTCCACAAAGAACCCCCGCCGCCCCTCCTCTCCCCCACCCCCACCACCACTGCCCACCGCTGCCTCCCCACTGCTGACGCTGCTGCTGCTGCTTGGGTTTGTGCGCAGGTGGGATGTGGAGTCCCCTGGCACTGGCTCTGCCTGCGGGCTGTACTCCATGTACTGTGCATGCCATGGGATGCCATGCCATGCCATGCCATGCCATGCCATGCCATGATGCCATGCCATGCCATGATGCCATGCCATGCCATGATACCATGCCATCATACCATGCCATGCCATGATACCATGTCATCATGCCATGCCATGCCATGCCATGATACCATGTCATCATACCATGCGATGCCATGATACCATGTCATCATGCCATGCCATGCCATGCCATGATACCATGTCATCATGCCATGCCATGCCATGATATCATGTCATCATGCCATGCCATGCCATGATACCATGTCATCATGCCATGCCATCCCATGCCATGATACCATGTCATCATACCATGCCATGCCATGATACCATGTCATCATGCCATGCCATGCCATGCCATGATACCATGTCATCATGCCATGCCATGCCATGCCATGATACCATGTCATCATGCCATGCCATCATTCATGATGCCATGCCATAGACATGCCATGACATGTCCCACAGACACATGCGCCCGCACAAGAGGGGAATTCAGCATAGAGCGCATTGGAGGCATGCAAATCACGACCATAATACGAGTAATGCGATCTGAGCATAAGAGGGGAAGAGACATACTCATGCCAGCTCCAAACACGACCAATACTCCATGCTTTTTCAGCCGACTCAAAAAGCTTCAAGCATGACAGGTTTCGCTGGATTGGATATAGCTAGTCATTAGTCATTCATCCCGCTGTGACGCCCTTCATTCATTCGTCCCACAGTGACGCCCTTCACTTCTAGCAGTCTCGTCTTGACGTCATTCACTGCAAGCCGCCTCACCTATACGCCCTTCACTCTCCATGCACCGCCTCACCTTCACGCCCACACTGCAGCCAACTGTGCGGGGTGGCTGTGCTGTAGAGTGGCCGTTGAGAATGAGGTGCACCAGGGACGTCTTGCCCACGCCTGGGTGCACAACCGGTGAAAAGAGGGAGGGAGGTAACTTTGAGACGCCTTAAAACTGTGCGGGGTGGCTGCACTGTTAGGGGGCCGTTGGGAATGAGGTGCACCAGGGACGTCTTGCCCACCCCTGTGCCACACAGCACAATGGGTGAGGCATGGGTGAGGGACGGAGAGAGCATGTGGTTTGAATGCTTCGGATGCACGAGAACATGACTAGACGCAGCCGTTTAGAATGAGGTGCACCAGGGACGTCTTGCCCACCCCTGTGCCACACAGCACAATGGGTTACGGTGGCAGCACCGGTGCCATAAAGGGCAGGAGAGAAGAGAGGGAGAGAGAGGGGAAGAGGGGGAGCGAGGGGGATTGGGAGGACAAAAGGAGGGCGAGCAACTGAGAGAGCGAGAGGGACTGGGAGCGAGGATGTGCTTTGAATGCACGTGTAGGTGAGTGGACGAATGGCTTTTATAAAACTGCAACTTTTGTATCTATCTGCAAAATGCACATTTTGCAATATCTGTGTCATCTCGAGCCCCACTCCACCCCTCTCTCCCCCCCCCCCCCTGTTCCACACGCACCTGAGTCCCCAACCACCATCACACGAACTTGTCCTGCCGGCACACTCCCGCCCCCTCCCACTCCGCCTCCCCCTCCTCCGCCCCCGCCCGCCCCTCTGCCCGCCCATCCTCCCCCCCCCGCCCCCATCTGACCGCCATCTGGCCACTGGCTCATCGACTCCACCGCTCTGCACCGCTGCACACCGTTCCCTGGACTGCCACAGAGGGTCAGCTCACGATATCAGGAGGGCAAGCGGACGGGGCGATTGGAGGAGGGGTGCATGGTGGGCCTGAGGTCCGGGTGTGGCGGTGAGAAGGGGAGACGAGCTCATCTGCGTTGAATGCCTGGTACGCAAAGAGCACGTCGTTCGGTAGGACAGGGTCCTTCTGTTACCCGTTCTCCTGGGATGAGCCCTTGTAAGGTGAGTCCCTTCTAGTTAAATCCCAGCTAAGATGAATCTGAATCCCACTTGAGCGGTTCAAGGTAAGGTTTTCTAAAACGGGATGACCTGACCGCTCACGTGGATCAAACGGGACGATTCCCCCCGGAAGCCCTACCAAACCGACCGTCACAATAAGCGATTTCTGTGGGCTCAACGTCCCGAGACTTCACGGGTGTGAATTGGATGCGACGAAGCTTCACCGCGCCGCTACACAGGATGCGGTGTCGCCACAGGCAGGATGTGCGAGAGGAGTGAGAACACAAGAAACAACTGGATCCGACAGAGTGACTTGCCAGTCGGAAGTCACAAAAAGGCAGGACGCGAGAGGACCGATGGACCGGCTGAATTCGACGGTCACTGAATTCAACTGTGGATTTAGTTCAACAATCCACGCCGGGAGCGAACGAGCTCGCACCACTCGACTACCACACAGCGAATTCGGTAAAGCCTTCGAGACAGCGAGCAATGGCGAAGGTTAAAGTCGTCTCTGGGCTCGCGATCATCCACGGGAGAATCCAAAAAGCAGTTGCTGGGATCTCAGTAACGTGCAGGTGAGGTTTGATGCAATTGATAAGCTCCATTAGGCTTTTCAACAGTGTGGATTCAGTGCTTTCAGCAGTGCAGCGGTGTATGAGGAGCGAACGCGTGTGGACCGTGCGGCAAAGGCGCGGAGAAGGACGAAGCGGACACGTCTTAATCTATTCGGCCGCTGCTGTTGCTGCTGCTGCAGCGGTTGCACGCGACCTACCGCTTGACCGTCGTTCGTACGGCTCAGCGACACGCAGCGAGATGGCAACGGCGACCTAGATTCTAGATTGCTTCTAAGCACGAAGATCACCACTGCAAGCACCTCGCTCGAACATCCCGATGACAGCTACACCGCAGAATACGCTGCTGCTGCTGCAGGTGAGTGCGCGAGAGTGCTGGAAACTACCACTGTAGAAAATGATACTGTATGTATCGACATGCACATAATGCACTGTACATGCGACTGCGACTCCCGAGTGAGACGAGTCACCTCTTGGACGATGCGATGTGAGTCAGAGCAGCGCAGTTGTAGGCATGGCAGGTGGTGTCAGATTCGGTGGGAATGTGTGGTCACGATTCTTTCGGGGCGACCAAGCAGCCCGCGCTCGACATTCCGTACGGTGCAGTTCGGTTTCTTGTAAAAAAATCATACATAAAAGAGAATTTCACCTAATAAAAAAGGCTCAACTTCTCACTACAACTCAAAGTGCAAATCTTGAGTGCACCTGGAAAAGCAAGCAAAGCAACCACTCACACGAGAGCATACGGTACTCACAACCATAGATGTTAACTGCAGGCCACGACAACGCACAAGCCAATGATTTGATTTGACCTGGAGGCCTTTGAATGCACAGTATATTCATCCATATGTATCGTAATCGTATCCAAGCAATCTTGGAGCGAGTCCCATTTCACAACTTCCAAAGAAGGCAAGGCAATATCGATGCTAACCCCATTACCAATTCCACTATCTGTCTCTGTCACGATCTCTTTCTCTCTCCCTAATGTCCCTGTCCCCTTCTCTCTCCCTCCCCCTCTCTCTCTGTCTGCTTGCATCCCGGTTCCTGTCCCAATCCTTATCCCTGCCCCAATCCCTAACCCTATCCCTGTCCCTATCTCTCTCCCTTTCCCTGTCCCTGTCCCTGTCCCTATCCCGATCCCTGTCCCTATCCCTGTCCCGATCCCTTTCTCTTTCTCTGTCACGATCCCTCTCCCTGTCTCTCTCCCTTTCCCGATCTCTGCTCCGATCAATATCCCGGTCTCTCTCCCTGTCCCTCTCCCTGTCCCTTTCTGAGAACCGACCTCCGGCCTTTTCATCCCTGGGTCGTTTCCTCTCACGTTCGGCACTTCTTTCCCTGCTTCCGCTGCACATTAGTGGCGGCGGAGGCGGCAGCAGCAGCAGCAGCAGCAGCAGCAGCAGCAGCAGCAGGACGACAGGATAGAGAAGGCATGCAGGTGTGTGGAACGTTCGTATTATGTGATCGCGGGAGGGTGAGTGGGGGATGAGAGAGTCCGTGTGGTGTAGGCTATCAGATACTCTACAGACACACATACGGGGGAGGTCACATGTGGGAAGGTCACAAAGCAACGGAGGGGGGATACGGGAGGAGCACACACATACATGGGCACAAGGAGGGAGAAGCTCACCTCCTCTGATCGTCACGGCCCTTGCCCTTTTGAGGTGCCTCAAAAGTCCAAAGAGATAAAAAAATAAAAAAGGAGGCGCTTCAAAAGTCCAAAGAAATTAAAAAAAAAAAAAAAAAAGGAGGCGCCTCAAAAGACACAAGGGGGGAGAAGCTCACCTTCTCCGATCATCACGGCCCTTGCCCCTTGCGCCTTGCTCCCCGTTCACCTGGAGAATATTGGAGCACAAGGAAAGCACAGAGGGAAGGGAACCACGCTTTCTGAGATGAGCTGTTTTAGGGCAAGCGCTGCTGCTGCATGGCCATGGAAAGAGAAGCGGAATCAGTGTGTATCTCTGGAGTTCGAGATGGTGCTTGGGGTAAAAGGGACGGGGCATGGGGGAGGACGGGAGTGAGTGAGGGAGTGGGAAAGGGATTGAAGGATGAAGGAGGGAGGAGGAAAGGAGGGAGGGAGGGAGGGAGGGAGGGAGGGAGGGAGGGAGGGAGGGAGGGAGGGAGGGAGGGAGGGAGGGAGGGAGGGAGGGAGGGAGGGAGGGAGGGAGGGAGGGAGGGAGGGGAGGAGGGAGGGAGGGAGGGAGGGAGGGAGGAGGGAGGGAGGGAGGGAGGGAGGGAGGGAGGGAGGGAGGGAGGGAGGGAGGGAGGGAGGGAGGGAGGGAGGGAGGGAGGGAGGGAGGGAGGGAGGGAGGGGGGCGAGAGGGAGGGAGGGAGGGAGGGAGGGAGGGAGGGAGGGAGGGAGGGAGGGAGGGAGGGAGGGAGGGAGGGAGGGAGGGAGGGAGAGAGGGAGGGAGGGAGGGAGGGAGGGAGGGAGGGAGGGAGGGAGGGAGGGAGGGAGGGAGGGAGAGAGGGAGGGAGGGAGGGAGGGAGGGAGGGAGGGAGGGAGGGAGGGAGGGAGGGAGGGAGGGAGGGAGGGAGGGAGGGAGAGGAGGGAGGGAGGGAGGGAGGGAGGGAGGGAGGGAGGGAGGGAGGGAGGGAGGGAGGAGGGAGGGAGGGAGGGGAGGGAAGGAGGGAGGAACGGCGGAAGCGAGGGCGTGAGGGAGCGGGTGACTTAAGGAAAGGAAAATAACAAAGGCAAGCTTCCAAAGCTGAAGCCAGTGACACTGCCGTACCTCGGGTCGTCCTTGGCTGCCTTCCTTGCCCTCCTCCTGCCGCTCCTCCCTGCCTGCCTCTGCGTCGCTCAACCCCATCTCCCTCCGCCTCTTCTCCCTCTCCTCCTCCCTCTTCTTCCTCAGCATCTCGGCTGTCTCGCGAATCCTTGCATAGCCCTGCCCGTGGATGGGAGAGACGGAAAGAGAAACAAGGAAAAGTGAGGGGAGAGGTGAGAAGAGAATGGGAGAGGAGAGGAGAGGTGAGGAGAGGAGGGGAGAGGAGAGGAGGGGAGGGAGAGGAGAGGTGAGGAGAGGAGGGAGGAGGAGAGGAGAGGAGAGGGGAGGAGGGGAGAGGAGAGGAGAGGAGAGGATGGGAGAGGAGAGGAGAGGTGAGGAGAGGAGAGGAGAGGTGAGGAGAGGAGGGGAGAGGAGAGGAGAGGTGACGAGAGGAGGGGAGAGGAGAGGAGAGGTGAGGAGAGACGTGGAGAGGTGAGGCGAGGAGAGGAGATAAGATGAGAGGAGAGGTGAGAAGAGGGCAGAAATTCAACCCATAGAGAGGAGAGGAGAGAAGAGAAAAGGAGACAAGAGCAGAGGGGAGGGTAAAGAAGTCGGCCCCCTTCCCTTCAGTTTACTTAGCTCTGGAACAGCAACAACCCGAGCAGCAGAAGAAGACACCAATGGCAGCAGCAGCAGCAGGAGCAGCAGGAGCAGGAGCAGGAGCAGCACGTACGAGGTGTTGCTTGCCGTCGAGGTGCGAGGCGAGTCGCTTCTCCGTGTCTGTGTTGGCCTGCATGGCCCCACACACCTCACACACCTGCTCCCATGCACACATGCATGAGTGCGCACACCGTCAAGCACCCCACAATGCACGCAAGCACACACAGGAGAATACGCAGACAGATCACTTTTTGAGTAGGCAGAAAGGAGTATACACTACAAACAAATAATTTGCAAGCACACACTGCATAGCAGCAGCACAGCAGCAAGAGGAGGCGGAAAGCAGCGGTACCTTGCGAGTTATTTTTGAGAATTCTCAAAAATAACAAGCAGCGGTACCTGCAGGCGCTTCTCCTTTTGGATGACGGAGGAGGCGATGGCGTAGAGACACACTGAATAGAAAGAAATGGGACAGGAGAATCTGCAAGAGGATTTTCTCTCAGCCTGGCAATGAACGGTACGGTACCTGCAGGCGCTTCTCCTTTTGGATGACGGAGGAGGCGATGGCGTCTGGCACAGCCGAGCGCAGCAGAGCCTCCTTCTCACGATTCAATGCGTCCACCTGGTGGAAGGGGGGAGAAGGGGGGGAGAAGGGGGGAGACGGGGGGAGTATGCGATGCGATGAGGGAGACTTTTGAGTCGACTCAAAAGGCAGCAGAGCCTCCTTCACACGGTTCGAAGCATCCAGCTGGGGAGGGGGGGGTGGAGGGAGGGGGAGTATGCGGAGGGGGAATTCCGAGGCGCCCTGACACTCGTCTCCCTGCCAGGCAATACGGTTCAATGCGGTTTGGTACTGGCGAGCGCAGGAGAGCCTCCTTCTCGCGGTTCAATGCGTCCACCTGCATGGGCGAATGGGAGGAAGAAACGGGGAATGGCGAAAGCAAGGGAACCAAGGGGGGGATGACTTTTGCGTCGACCCAGCAGACATTCAATCGGGTCTGGCACATGCGGGCACAGGCGCAGGAGAGCCTCCTTCTCGCAGTTCAATGCATCAACCTGCAGCACGAAGGGGTGGGGTAAGGATTGGGGAACGGCGAGAGTTTGGAAACCATGGGGAAACCATGGGGAAACCATGGGGAAACCATGGGGAAACCATGGGGAAACCATGGGGAAACCATGGGGAAACCATGGGGGAAACCATGGGGGAACCATGGGGGAACCATGGGGAACCATGGGGAACCATGGGGGAACCATGGGGGAACCATGGGGGAACCATGGGGGAACCATGGGGGAACCATGGGGGAACCATGGGGGAACCATGGGGGAACCATGGGGGAACCATGGGGGAACCATGGGGGAACCATGGGGGAACCATGGGGGAACCATGGGGGAACCATGGGGGAACCATGGGGGAACCATGGGGGAACCATGGGGGAACCATGGGGGAACCATGGGGGAACCATGGGGGAACCATGGGGGAACCATGGGGGAACCATGGGGGAACCATGGGGGAACCATGGGGGAACCATGGGGGAACCATGGGGGAACCATGGGGGAACCATGGGGGAACCATGGGGGAACCATGGGGGAACCATGGGGGAACCATGGGGGAACCATGGGGGAACCATGGGGGAACCATGGGGGAACCATGGGGGAACCATGGGGGAACCATGGGGGAACCATGGGGGAACCATGGGGGAACCATGGGGGAACCATGGGGGAACCATGGGGGAACCATGGGGGAACCATGGGGGAACCATGGGGGAACCATGGGGGAACCATGGGGGAACCATGGGGGAACCATGGGGGAACCATGGGGGAACCATGGGGGAACCATGGGGGAACCATGGGGGAACCATGGGGGAACCATGGGGGAACCATGGGGGAACCATGGGGGAACCATGGGGGAACCATGGGGGAACCATGGGGGAACCATGGGGGAACCATGGGGGAACCATGGGGGAACCATGGGGGAACCATGGGGGAACCATGGGGGAACCATGGGGGAACCATGGGGGAACCATGGGGGAACCATGGGGGAACCATGGGGGAACCATGGGGGAACCATGGGGGAACCATGGGGGAACCATGGGGGAACCATGGGGGAACCATGGGGGAACCATGGGGGAACCATGGGGGAACCATGGGGGAACCATGGGGGAACCATGGGGGAACCATGGGGGAACCATGGGGGAACCATGGGGGAACCATGGGGGAACCATGGGGGAACCATGGGGGAACCATGGGGGAACCATGGGGGAACCATGGGGGAACCATGGGGGAACCATGGGGGAACCATGGGGGAACCATGGGGGAACCATGGGGGAACCATGGGGGAACCATGGGGGAACCATGGGGGAACCATGGGGGAACCATGGGGGAACCATGGGGGAACCATGGGGGAACCATGGGGGAACCATGGGGGAACCATGGGGGAACCATGGGGGAACCATGGGGGAACCATGGGGGAACCATGGGGGAACCATGGGGGAACCATGGGGGAACCATGGGGGAACCATGGGGGAACCATGGGGGAACCATGGGGGAACCATGGGGGAACCATGGGGGAACCATGGGGGAACCATGGGGGAACCATGGGGGAACCATGGGGGAACCATGGGGGAACCATGGGGGAACCATGGGGGAACCATGGGGGAACCATGGGGGAACCATGGGGGAACCATGGGGGAACCATGGGGGAACCATGGGGGAACCATGGGGGAACCATGGGGGAACCATGGGGGAACCATGGGGGAACCATGGGGGAACCATGGGGGAACCATGGGGGAACCATGGGGGAACCATGGGGGAACCATGGGGGAACCATGGGGGAACCATGGGGGAACCATGGGGGAACCATGGGGGAACCATGGGGGAACCATGGGGGAACCATGGGGGAACCATGGGGGAACCATGGGGGAACCATGGGGGAACCATGGGGGAACCATGGGGGAACCATGGGGGAACCATGGGGGAACCATGGGGGAACCATGGGGGAACCATGGGGGAACCATGGGGGAACCATGGGGGAACCATGGGGGAACCATGGGGAACCATGGGGAAACCATGGGGAAACCATGGGGAAACCATGGGGAAACCATGGGGAAACCATGGGGAAACCATGGGGAAACCATGGGGAAACCATGGGGAAACCATGGGGAAACCATGGGGAAACCATGGGGAAACCATGGGGAAACCATGGGGAAACCATGGGGAAACCATGGGGAAACCATGGGGAAACCATGGGGAAACCATGGGGAAACCATGGGGAAACCATGGGGAAACCATGGGGAAACCATGGGGAAACCATGGGGAAACCATGGGGAAACCATGGGGAAACCATGGGGAAACCATGGGGAAACCATGGGGAAACCATGGGGAAACCATGGGGAAACCATGGGGAAACCATGGGGAAACCATGGGGAAACCATGGGGAAACCATGGGGAAACCATGGGGAAACCATGGGGAAACCATGGGGAAACCATGGGGAAACCATGGGGAAACCATGGGGAAACCATGGGGAAACCATGGGGAAACCATGGGGAAACCATGGGGAAACCATGGGGAAACCATGGGGAAACCATGGGGAAACCATGGGGAAACCATGGGGAAACCATGGGGAAACCATGGGGAAACCATGGGGAAACCATGGGGAAACCATGGGGAAACCATGGGGAAACCATGGGGAAACCATGGGGAAACCATGGGGAAACCATGGGGAAACCATGGGGAAACCATGGGGAAACCATGGGGAAACCATGGGGAAACCATGGGGGAACCACGAGCCCCTGCCCTCCCCCCCCAGCCTCTTTCCAGTCCATTCTAACCCCTAGCCCCTTCCCCCCCCTGCCCACCCCCCTCTTCCCCGCACCTTCCCCTGTCCACGAGCCCCTGCTCGCCCTCCAGCTCTTTACAGTCAAGTATGACCCCATTCTCTCTTCCCCCTTTTCCGCCTCAACTTGCCCCTTCTCCCCCGCCTTCCGCACCTTCCCCATGGTGGCCTGTGCGCGGTCCACGAGCCCCTGCTCGCCCTCCTGCTCCGCCTGGCGCAGCAGCGCCTGCACCTGCGCGCCGATGGCGCTGATGCGCTCCGCGTGCACTGCTGCGCCCTGCCCCGCCGGCAGCTCCTTGTCCAGCCGCTCATGGCACCGCTTGATCTTGCTGTGCGGACAGGACAGGGGGGCGCGAGGGGGGGGGGAGGGGGGTGGCAGGGGAGTAGACGGGGGGAGAGTTGGGTAGGGAAGTGGGGGAGGAAGAGGGCAGAGGAGAGGACGGGAGTGAGAGAGTTAGGCAGCCCTGCCTTGCAGCAACTCCTTGTCCAGCCGCTCGTGGCACCGCTTCATCTTGCAGCCGCGCAGGGGGGGTTGGGGCGGAGGGGCGGTGGAGAGTGGGGGGATTGAGGGGAGGAGAAGGGTACGGGAAGGGAGAAGGGGGAGGAGGGAGGGGGGGGCAGGAGGAGGGAAGAAGGAGGGAGGGGATTGAGTTAGCGACCGGGAGTGAGCGAGATTGTACATTCCTGCATGCGTGCTCGCAATTCGTGCTCGCCTTTTAAGATTGGTAGCACACTTGCCAGCGTGCTTGCTTGTGCTTATGCACGCGACTACCCGCTCTCACCGTTCGAGATCCGCTATAAGCCGCTCCAGGTAAGCCAGAAGCTCCGCCTCGAACTGCGCGACTTTAGTGGACGCCAGAAACTCCTCCCGAAGCGCGTTACTCACCGTTCGAGATCCGCTATAAGCCGCTCCAGGTAAGCTAAGAGCTCCGCCTCGAACTGCGCGACTTTAGTGGACGCCAGAAACTCCTCCCGCAGCGCGTCGTCGTGCACGCGCGGGCACGGGCCTAGGTCGGAGCGCGTGTTGGGAAAGAGATCGTTCGGACAGAAGGCGACCAGATGGTAGCGGCATACCTATCGGGGGGAAGGAGGGGGAGGCGCGCGGAGGAGGGAGGGAGGGGAGGGGGGGGAAAGGGTTGGGTGACGATGGTGGATGGGGGGGGATCAGGACGAAGGACGTAAATCGGGGTACGAAAGGTGGGCGGAAACGGGGGCGGGGAGGCGGGAAGGGGGTTGGAAGAAAGGAAGAGCGCTACGGAGTGGATACATGGAGAATCGCGAGTGCGGAATCGGAGAGACGGGAAAGACTCGATGAACGGAGAAAAGACGGGAGATAAAGCGGTTTTTGAAGGAAGTAATTCGGTCAGCTTCTCCGCAAATTATAGCTGGAATTATACAGCGGTTTTTGAAGGAAGCAGAGCCGTCCAATAGCCGCCGATGGACACGTGGTTCCTCTCCGCGTGTCAGTTACCTACTCCCCCCACATACCTCGGGATCGTCGAACCGCAGCTTGCGTTTCTTCTGATCCAACGGCAGATCTCGGTCCTTGCCCATGAGCTCGTCGAGTAACGAGCGAGCATCCATCTTGGGTCACGTTCGCACGAACAAATCGCACAAACAGCTCGCACAGACAGTTCGCACAAACAGCTCCCACGCTCTCGACCTACGGCGCAAATGAAGGCCGTCGAGGACACGGGTACGAAGGAGAAACCACGGACGAGAGATGAAACGGTGTGTGCACAGGCTGCTAAAACAATGGCGTCGACTGCATCCCCCCAGCCATCGTCGTTATGCGACACGGGGGGTGGAAGGGGCGAACACAGGTTACGAGATCCGAGCACGGGGTTTTTCTAGAGGTGACGTAGGTCGTATTTTCCGACAAAACGTCACGTTGCAGAATTATACGGTTGCAAATCCTACTCTCAAGTTCGCACCAGCTGTACAGTAAAAGACGTCACACTTTCAAAGTCCTATGGTCAGAATTGCATGCGACGGCGTATGCAAAAAGGTCGTTGTTGGGGTGCGGTGTGAAAAAAGCATTCCATCCCCGACTTAGTATACTCCCCGACACATTACCGGAGGGTCTTCCTGGAAAGTAATTCAAAGCAGCTGAAAATATTGTACACCTTCGATGATCTGACTATATACCAGTACACGTACAGGTATGCACATCCACAATTGTAATCAGGACTTCAGAGCAGTGATAGAGAACTTAACGACATGCACAGAGCCACCAATTACATCAGTTTCTTCCACTTCCCGCAGAGAGCCTTGAAATTCGTTCCATACCCAATCCTCACAAAATTCCCTTGCCCCAACGCACTACCAAGAACACTACGCACATCAGCAAGACTCCCTGGCCCTACACCGCCTGTGAAGGTGAAGCTGTAGCGCTTGCGGCGACCAGTCCTGTCACTCGTGATGTTCGTCCAAGGTACACCAGCTAGGCCGAGCGCAGTGGCGTCACAGGAAGTTCCGCCACTTACGGTAGGAGCCTCGCCACCAGACCTGATGTTCAAGATATCGACGGTATATTTGATGTAGTATGACGTTGCTGAGTACCTGCCATCAGGACTCGGAGAGGGAGATGCAAAGAGGGAAGAGGAGTGAGCCGGTAGTAGAGGGTCAGGGAGTCGCCAAGGGGATTCACGGGAGAAGAGTGAGCCAGGGTTGGGGGGGGGGGCACCAGTACAAGAGCTATGAAGGGTGCAAACTGGTTTTCTATCCAGTCTTGTGTGTTTTTATGAAACAACAGTACCAGCAGAGAGAAATCACACGGAGACAACGCACCTTACTGCAATTAAAAAGCATTTTCCCGAGGGACCTTCGTTACCGATTAGCTTTCTATTGAGCTGAGTGGGGTGAATTTTGAGTCGACTCAAAAGACACACAAAGACGCACGCACCTCACTGCCTTGAGGATGTATTTCCCCGAGGCATCTTCGTCTCCAACTAGCTTTCCATTGATCTTTGTGGGACGCAGCTTGACCACGTACTTAACTGGCCATGGGCATCACATGGCAGAAGGGTAGGGCACATGGGGAAGGAAGGCAGTGGAAGAATAGCAGGCGAGAAGTGGAAGCAGCATGGTTTAAGAACCGTTCTCTGGGCACACTACAGTTACAGAAGAGCAGCACGCTGCTAGCATGTGCCATGCACAAATGCTGACTCTTCTTAGCGTTCACAGCAAGCCCGATCATGCACGGCGAACACATTCATGCACGTGAATGGACAAGTGGCCACCACAGCTCAAAACAAAACAGGCCACTGGAACACCACAGCAGTTACATTGCAGCAAGAAAACGGGCGAAAAAGAGCGAGGAAAACGGCAGTTATTAGTGCCGGATTCGTTCCACTAGCATTACAGGGAATCACAGAGCTTAGAAAGCGCGCAGCAGACACTTACAGATTGTCTTGCCTTGCCAGACCATAGGCCTGGCCTGAGCGGCAGACGCGGGAGAGATGATGTCGCCGCCGCGTGGGAGGAGTGGCGAAAGGAGTGATGCAGACGTGGCCGCAGTGAAGAGCGCCGCACCTGGCAGGCAGGCAGGCAGTGGAAACAAGCGAGGGAACCGTTAGGCTCTAAACCGTCCAAAACCGGCAGAAACGGCTGGTGGCAGTGCTTCTGAGCGGACACAATAAAGTGTCGCTTACAGAGGAGGACGATGACCAGGAATACCACGCGCTTCATGCTGGAAGTTCTAGACAGTAAAGGGCGAGGTGCTGCTGAAGATCCGGTGCTCGTGATGCAGGCGGTAATACTAAAACAATAGTACTAGTTAGGCTCGGAGGTGGGTCTAACCCCGAGCTACTTATATTAGGGTAGTATGGGGTGGGATGATCATGGAACGCCGCTGTGAGCCAAAGCATGGCCGCGTCACGAGGTGGCAGGACGACTCGCCCTGGGAATCCTCGGAGAACGGGAACGCGGAGGAGGCCGGAACGCGGAGGAGGCCGGAACGCGGAGGAGGCCGGAACGCGAAGGAGCCCGGAACGAGGAGGAGGCCAGAAAGCGGGCTGCCTTAGTGGCTGTTCTTACCATCCTATTGATCTTGGCTGTGCCGAGTGGAGTCATCAGCGCGGATGTAGCCGTCAAATGAAGACCTGTCCAGCACGGCAGGTAAGCCATGGAGGTGCGGGTATGGTTGCCAGAAACGACGCGCCGCCCAACTCGCTGCTCCAGCGCGCGTCTGTGCTGATCGCACGGCTTATTTCACTCCCCATCAATGGGCTAAGGGGGTCAATCGTCTGTTTGGTCGATGGTCAGGTCTGTTCCTTCTGGTGAAGATTGCCGTGGTCAGGTGGCATAGTGGACATCGCGAAGTATCATCGTAAGAGAAGATACGAACAAGCCGTGTAGCCATAGCTTATCAGAAACTGTTATTATCCTCGCTGGGGGGAGTTTACAGCGGGGTAGCTTTTCGGGGTGGGGAGCGCATATGAAGGTGAGTAACGGTTTGAACCGGCGGTGGATTGGTAAAGCGCCACGTGCTGCACTCATCGCGAATCGCGAAGATGCACGTGTGTTACGGGTGCGAAGCAGGTGAGGAAGCGTGCAATGTGAGCGAACGCACGAGAGCAATGGATTGCGAGATTATAGTAACAGTAACCGACATTTGTTTCAAGGCTTGGTGGAAGTATCACATTTTTCAGAAACCTCAAATAACACCAGACCAAACAGCATAATCAAACCAGCACTTCAGAAATTACCACACCAAGCCCACTCTTTTCCGTGCTTGAATCAGCTTCTCTTGCCCCTACTAGACTTCGCTACATAGATGTGAACGCAAGCAGGTGCTCAAGGCTGAGAGAGGGTGCTGCTGCCTCAGCCACTCATGCTTGAGCTGGGAGCAGTGGTGAGACAGGCATCGAGAAGAACAATGCCACTTATCAGCTTTTGTCAAGAAGACATGAGTTGGGCAGCAGGGAATTTGCACGACGCGAGCTTTTGCAAAAGAGGCAACATGGAAACCACTCTATATGAGGTCCAGTGAAACAACAGTAGAGATAGGAATGCTGTGCCTACCGCATCGGTTCTTCCTCAGCAGTTACCAAACCATACCACAGACAAGCCAGCTCAAAACTCTTTTACGGTATCAGGGCGTCTCAGAAGCGCATGCCCTAAGCTGAGTCACAAGCATGGGCAATACCGTAGTAGCAGGTTAGGTTACACTTGCATTCACTTGGATTGAGTTTGAATGCGCTTATTGACACCCAGCAGCAGCGAGGAGCAGTGAGGCACGGAGAAGAAGGTACACCTCTCCACCGCACTCCACCACTCCTGCACGCACGCTGCCAGATACACCTGCTCCCGCTCGAGCCCGGCTACAATATCCCTGCGCCACATGGCGCTGTCTGGTTGGCTGGTGGGGAAGGCTACTAGCAGCTGGCAAGCTGGCGGGAGGGATTGGTCACGTAGCAGGGCTGCTAGAGTGGGGAGGTCGGATCCATCCAGGCTCAACTGGGGGAGGGGGGTGTGGGTGAGGAAGGGAGAAGGGGGAGGTGAGGGGAGTAGTGAGGAGGGACAATGTGTGTGGTTGAGAAGTGTGGGAGATGTGTGGGTGGATGGATGAGCTTACTCCCAGACGCAGATAACACATCTACACACACACACACACACACACACACACACACACACACATGCGCGCGCACATACACACACGCACACACGCACACACACACACACACATACACACACACACACGCACACACGCACACACGCAAACACACACACACACACTAAATGCACACACGCACACATACACATGCACGCATGTGGATGGCCGCATGCATACAGCACTGTGGTACCAACCAACTCTCGCATGGACATCCACATAGGGCGCACCACAACTGGCCTCACACACACAGACCCAGACGATTGCTGAGTCAACTAAAGCACACCACAACTGGTGATCATACTATTTTTGAGTCAACTGATAAATCGTCTCGCATGGACATCCACATAGGGCACACCACAACTGGTGTCAAGGAAACCACAAACTGGGCGCACTGCTGGCCCCAACCAGCTGGAAACTGGCAGCACGGCATACTTGACACGCGCGGAAGAGCACCTTTTTTTAATATTCTTCCAGGAGGCAGCGGGGGGAGGGGGCGGGGGCGGGGGCGGGGGAGGGGGGCTTTAGGCCGAAGCCAGGAGGAAATGCGGATGCGCATCGCACCTCTCCCTCTCACCTTGAGCACATCCAATGGTGCCCCGTGCGTGACCGCGCTGCTGACCCCATTCAACGCTGAGCGAACTATCGCCACAGCCGGTACCCGCCTCACCACCTCCTCCTCCCACGTCCTTTCACCTCCCACCCCTGCACCACCCTCACCCTCGCCACCGGACCCACCACCGCCAGCACCACTACCGCTGCTGCTGCTGTGAGTGTCTGTGCAGGCAAGTGAGCTGGAGGCGGAGAGGGGGGAGGTGGCGGTGTAAAAGGAGGCGGAGGGCGCGCCGAGGAGGTCCATGGGGCCCAGCAAGGAGCGATGGCAGATGGCTGCTATGGGGGGGGCTGTCCACTCGTCCGATGCTGATTTGAACTGCACAGGGCAGCGGGGGGAAAGGGGAACGGAGAGGGAGGGAGAAGGGGGAAGAGAGGTAGAATTTTTTCTTGAGGCGTCTCCTTACCACCACCACTGCTGCTACTGCTGTGAGTGTCCGTGCAGGCAAGGAGGCTGGAGGCAGAGAGGAGGAGGTGCATGGGGCCCAGCAGGGAGCGATGGCAGCAGAGGGAGCGATGGCAGATGGCTGCTATGCGCGGAGATGACCACAGTTGATGCAGGCGGGCCGGATGAGCCACAGTTCTCAAAGAGCGACCAGCAGACCCTTCTCTGGCTGGAAACTAGCAGCAAATCAGCCAGATCAGCGCCATTACTCTCAAACCCACCTCCCCGCCCCTTTCCGTCCCTCACCTCTTGAAACCGCCTCTCGCACTCCTCCAAGCCCACATCTTGAACCACCTTGCGCAGAGCAGCCAGGTCAGCACCAACGGCCTTGTCAAAACTAGCGGGCCAGGCAGGCTCCCAGGGGCGCGTGGGGTCGCAGAGGAGCACTGCCCCGCGGGGGGAGGCGGGGCGGTTGAGCCAGTCCGCGGAGGGGGAGCACCAAACAGCAAACCCTGGTCGGGCTAATATGTAAGAGCAAAGCAGCACCACTACAGGAACTCACCTCTTCAAACCGTTGCTCACACTCCTCCAAGCCCGCATCCTCCACCACCCTCCTTAGAGCGGCCAACTCAGCACCAACAGCGGGCCAGGCAGGTTCCCAGGGGCGCGTGGGGTCGCAGAGCTGCACTGCCCCTCGAGGGGAGGCGGGGCGGTTGAGCCAATTCGCAGAGGGGGAGCACCAAACAGCAAACCCTGGTCGGGCTAGAACCGAGAACCATATCAGCAGCAGCACTCGTACTCACCTCCCCAAAAATTGTCACTCACCTCTTCAAACCGCCTCACACACTCCTCGAGGCCCACGTCCTCGATCACCCTCCGCAGCGCCGCAAGCTCAGCACCAACAGCTTTGTCGAATGCAGCCGGCCAGGCAGGTTCCCAGGGGCGCGTGGGGTCGCAGAGCTGCACTGCCCCTCGGGGGGAGGCGGGGCGGTTGAGCCAGTCCGCGGAGGGGGAGCGGATCCAGCGCGTGGGGGGGATGGGGGCGTATTTGAGCAGCGCCTGGGGGGGTGGATGGGTGGGGGATGGGGGCGGAAGGGGGAAAGGGATACTTGGGGGAAAATGGGGAAGGATGGGGAACGGATCCCATGTGTGGGGGGGATGAGGACGCAGTTGAGGAGAGCCTGGGGGGAAAAAGGGGGGTGTTGGGGGGGAGTGGATGGCTGACGGGGAACAGGAGGAGAGGGGGCAGGACCCACCTCACCCGTGGTTGGGATGAATCCCTTCTAGTACCACGTGGGGGGAAGTGGTTGGGGAAGGGATGTGGAAGATGGTATGGGTTTGGATCGGGGAGGGATTAAACGGGGTAAGATACGAATCCAACACGCTGACCCATACCTGGGGCTGCCTGGAGGAAATCAAGGACGCCTCACCCGCAACTTGAATCAAGCCTTGTTTTGAGTCGACTCAAAACGAGTGCCTGCCTGGGGGGATTCAGAGATGCCAAACCCGGAACTTGAATACCCCGGAAGGAACCTCCGGGCGGGCGGTTGCGCATCACTCAACAGTAACTGGGTCTGTGACTCCGCGCATCAGTCTCTCACCCGGAGGCCAGTGTAGGCGGGCGTGCAGGGCCAGCACTTGGCTCCGTTGAGAGGCGCGGAGGAGGAGAGCGCAGCAACGAGCACGTCGTCTGCGGGGTAGGGCCGGCGCGAGAGCACACAAAAGGGCACGTCTGCCCGCCCCACGCGCACCCCTGCTACTTCAAGCTGTGCTCTCAGACCCTTTTCTGAGTTGAGATCGCTGGGGGGGGGGGGGGAAGATGAGGGGATGCAGGGACGGCGAGGGGGGAGTGGTTGAGGAGGTGAGGGTGGGAGGGGAAGGGCGGGAGGGTGTGGATGTGCAGAGATGCGAACATTGCTGAGAAGGAGTGGAGGAGGAGAGCGCAGCAACGAGCACGTCGTTGTCAGAGATAGGCTTAGAACTGATGCATTAGTAATGAGCTTGAAGCTCTTTAAGTACATCCAAGAGGGGTAGGAAAAGGATGGGGAAGGGAATCGGGGGCAATCTCTAGGGATTGGGGGTAATCCCAAGGCAATCTCCAATTGGTGGGTTGGAGATTGGTTGGAGATTACATTTGGGTTTGGTTGGGATGTAGGTGTACACCCAACCAAACACAATGTGCAAACTACACTACTCTAGGATATAGAAAATACAAAGTACAAATTGTGAGATTGAAGACTAACACTAACACCCCCCCATAGGCGTCAATCGAACTCAGGGTAGAGAGGGTGGAGCACAGAGCCCCATGGCGCCAAGGAGACGGTGGTGGGGAACTTTCCCAAGGGGCTTGGTGAACAGATCAGCCAGGTTGCAGTCAGATGCAACGTATTCCACTTTCAACTGCTCTTGTTGGACAAGGTCACGGATGAAGAAGTGCCGGAGTTCAATGTGCTTGGTGCGGGTGTGATACACAGGGTCTTGAGAGATGTGGATGGTACTCTGGTTGTCACACCAGAGGGTGGGGGCGGACTGTGGGAAACCAAGCTCCTGGAGGAGGAAGGTGAGCCAACGAGCCTCCTGAGCAGCCATGGTGCCTGCGTAGAGCTCTGCCTCACATGAGGAGAGGGAGACTGCAGACGACCTGGTGGAGCGCCAACTGACAATTCCGCTCCCAAGGGTGAAGCAGTACCCCTGAGAGGAGCGTCGGTCGGTCTGGTCATCAGCCCAGGAGGAGTCGGTGTAACCTTCCAGGCGAGGAGGGGAGAGCCCACCGAGTGTGAGGACGTGAGACTTGGTGCCCTGAAGATAGCGCAGCACGGGGGTGGCAACAGGTGTGCATAGCTCCATCTCAAATCGCTTGAGCACATTGTCGATGTAGAACTCCTGGGAGAGTGAAATGGTGCGAGCCTTGCGATCACGAGTGATCTCCATCCCCAGGTAGTGCTTGAGGTCACCGAGGTCTTTCATCTGGAGAGCCTTGCTTAGGGCTGCCTGGACTGAGGTCATCTGGGCCGAGTCCTTGGCAACGAGGATGAAATCATCCACGTAGACTAGGATGTAGAAGGGCTCAGAATGACGGCGGATGAAGAGAGTCGGGTCAGCAGTTGAAGGGTGGAAGTCCAGGGAGAGGAGGACTTCTTTCACCTTGTTGTGCCATTCGCGAGGGGCTTGCTTAAGGCCGTAGACGGGGCGATTCAGCTTCCAGACAGTGTTGGGAGGGAATTCTCCTGGGAAGCCTTCTGGTCTGTCCATGAACACTGTCTCCTTGAGACGTCCTTGTAGGAAGGCGGATGAGGCATCCATGGATTTGATCTCAAAGTCTTCTCGAGCTGCGACATCCATGAGCGTACGAATGGTGGGAGGTTTGGATGTGGGGGAGAAGGTTAGGAAGAAGTCGCGGTACTGCTGCTGGGTGAAGCCCTTGGCTACGTAGCGCGCTTTGAACACCGGTGCCTCGTCTGGGAGCTGTTTTACACGGAACAACCACTTGCCCCCGACGATGTTGACTCCTGGAGGTGGAGTCTCGTCGTCGAAGGAGTGGTTGCGGGTGAATGCTGCAATCTCCGCGTCCATGGCAGCACGCCATTCGGCAGCATGAGGGCCTGAGAGAGCCTCTTGGACGGTGAGAGGGATAGGGATGGTCGGGTTCTCCGCGAAGTTGAGGGAGGGTGAGCCAGTGATGTCGGGGAAGATGTGTGAGAGCTGAGGAAGGACTGCATGGAGATCACACAGTTCCTCATGCCTGTCTTCTAGAAGGGTAGAGGGCACATCCCCCCCAGCAGGAGGAGGCGGTGTGATCGCGGTGTATCGAAGAACCATCGCGAGTGGAAGAGTAGCGCGATGTGAGCGAGTGCCATGAGCCACCGGAGAAGAGGGTGGGGCTGGCGGTGTTGGAGAGGGTGACTTAGTAGGCTTGGGCGGGGGAATGGGCCGCCGGCGGTACGTGATCAGCTCGGGCGACTGTGGGAGAGCGGGTTCCTCTGTGGTGGGGGGAGCCGGGGGAGGAGGTGGGGCCGGAGGGTGGGACCGCCGATGGTAGGTGATAGGTGCGCTCGGAGGGGGCGGCGCAGCGGGAAGTGGGGAAGGTGAGGGGGAGGGAGGAGCAGCTGCCGAAGACACCGGTGAGGCCGGGTCAGTGACCTCAGAGGGAGATGGTGCGATGGCAGGAGAGGGAGGAGGTGAGGGAGCAGGAGCAGGCGGGAGGTCGGGAGGCGCATCAAAGTCTGCCCACACGAGGGAGGGTGGATCAGGGAGAGGGTCCCGTCCCGAAGGGGAGTAGAATGGGCGGGTCTCATCAAAGACAACGTCACGGCTCCTGACCAACTGGTGAGTGGAGGGATTGAGGAAGAGGTAGTCAGGTGAGTCGGCGTTGTGCCCGAGGTAGATGCACGTCTGAGTCTTGGGACCGAGCTTGCCACCGTTATGCCGTCGAGCCTGAGGGTTGAGGAGGACATAGGCGGTGCATCCCCAAACGCGAAGAGAGCGAGCAGTGGGCGTTTTCCCGAGCCAGAGTGTGGTTGGAGTGGTGTCGGGAAGGTGCGGGTGGGGGTAAAGGTTGTAGAGGAGGGCGGCGTGGTAGAGAGCGTACCCCCAGAGAGAGTGTGGAGAGTTGGAGTGGCTGAGGAGGCACCGAGTGATCTGCACCAGGGTGTGGTTGCGGCTCTCAGCTATGCCGTTCTGTTGAGGGCTGTCAGGGAGGGTGAAGTTTTGCTGGATGCCTTCGGAGGAGCAGAAGGCTTTGAGCTTGTCGTTGCAGAACTCACCCCCCCCATCCGAGTGAAGGCGCTTGACCTTGCGGTCAAAAGTGGTCTGTGCCTGCTTGACCCACGCTATGATGACCTCTGGAGCCTCAGCCTTAGTGTGGAGGAGGTGAACAGAGACGTAGCGGGAGTGGTCATCCACAATAATAAGGAAGTAGCGATAGCCACCTCGTGCGAGAACAGGGGCAGGGCCCCAGACGTCCATGTGCACGAGGTCCAGTGGTGCTGCAGCGACTGTGGGTGAGGCAGGATGGGGCTGTTGGCGCAGTTTGCTCTTGGTGCAATCAAGGCACGTGGGAGCTGGTGAGTCAGGTGGTGGAGGAAGTGCGGCTGGCAGGCCGAGGAGAAGTTTCTTGGAGGCCATGTCAGCAAGGGTGCGAGAGGAAATTTGGGTGCCCGAGCCGATGGTGGTAGAGGATGGTCGGGTTGGAGAGGGTGCGACATGAGCATGGTGTGATAGTGGCCTGTGCTTGGGTGGTTGACACCTGTGGGAGAGGGACGCGTAGCGTGTAGAGGCCGTTGCTGTTGAGGGTGTAGCGGGCCAGAGTTTTGTTGGTGCGTGGATCGATGATGTCGCAATAGTCCTCGTTCTCTGGGAAGATGGTGCGTAGCCCCGCCTCCTGAATTTCTGTTTGGGCAACTAGATTGTGACGCAGTGAAGGCACGCACATGCCAGTGACAGTGCCGGATGGGAAGGCGGGGCATGGGACTGTGGAGGTACCCTTGGCGAGGGTGGTGAAGCTTGAGTCAGCTCCTAAGAGAGGGATAGGTGTTGGGTAAGGTTTGAAGGAGAAGGTCTCCTTGAGCACGGTGTGAGTGGCCCCGCTATCGAGTGTGAACTCTATGTATTGTGGTGCCTGTGATGAGCCGATGTACAAGGAGGTTGCTTCATTAATCATGGCAGTGCCAGGGAACAACAGGTTGATACGCACATCAGCAGGAGCACTATCACTAGCACTAGCCGAAGCGGGGTCCTGGACCTCAACTAGGTTGGCCTTACGAGGGCGCATCCAGTTTGGCGGCTTCTTGTCAACTCCGTGGAGGGCATACCACTCGTCGTCTTTCTTCTTGAAGCACGTAGCAAGGGGGTGGTTAGTGCCACCACACACTTGTCCCTTGCGGTTGCCATACTTGACGACGTAGGGGCACGGAGGAAAGCGGTTGCGCTGGAAGGGCGCCGAGGCGAGAGCCGCTGCGACACTTGCTTGGGGCATGGGAGCGCGGATGGCGTACGCCTTGGCCTGAGCCGTGGAGTCTTTCTCGGCAGAGAGGAGTGCGGTGGAGACCTTAGCAAAGGTGAGGTCTTCCGCTGAGAGCGTGAGGAGCATCTTCCTCGTGACTTCATATGCCGAGGTGAGTCCAACAAGAAGGGCGGCTGCAGGGGCTTGCTCGGGGAAGACTATACCCAGCTCCTTGAGTTCGCCATGAATGGTCTGCACCTTGGCAATGTAGTCGACCATTCCCGAGCAGTCCTCAAGACGGACCTGAAACATGCTAGGGATGAGAATGGCCACGCCGACCGCCGTCTTGTTCATGAACCGATCCTGGAGGTACTTCCAGATGGCGTTGGAGGTAGGGTAGTTATGGAACGTGTTGACAAGTTCGGGAGGGGTGGAGGCGATGAAGACGCTGATGATGGCAGCATCGGCCTTCTCCCATTTCCGGTACTTCTCAACAGCTTCCTCGTACGCCCTAACGTCAGTGTCACTTGCGGATTCGGTCGGCTCACGGGGGAGAGTAGGCTGCTTCCCCTTGCCACGGTTGAGGAGGACGTCCTTGAGGTCAAGGCCCTGCACGTCACGGCTCAGGAGGTGCTTGTCAACTCCGTAGCTCCATGCCTTGAAGTTGGAGCTAGAGCCATCAGCTTCAAGGCGGAGCGGGGTGATGGGGTTGGCCATGGTGGAAGACGAGAGAGCCATGGTGGAGACCCCTTAACTTCTCGCGCGGAGCGCCGCTCTTAAGTCACCGATAGGAACTTCGAAAACTTAAATGAGCGGCGCGCAGCGCGGCGATTTCGAAATCCGACGGACGCGAAAGGCTAAAAACGTCAACGTCGGCCGCGTCGAATTGCCTCGTAGAAGGAATTTTCAGGCCGTCGAAATTAGGTCGAATCGGCCGATTTTGATAGAACTAACCCTAATCCCACACACCCCCCCACACACCGCCCTCAGCTTCACGGCTACGCTGCTGCTCGGCTTCACGGCTACACGGCTGCTCAGCTTCGCGGCTACGCTGCTGCTCGGCTGCGCTGCTGCACCTGTTCAGCTGCGGGAAACAGGGGGGACGGGGGTAGAAGTGCAGATGCGGGGCGACGGGCGGCAGCCCGACGAGAAGCTGCGGGGCGACGGGCGGCAGCCCGACGAGAAGCTGCAGGGCGACGGGCGGCGGCCCGACAAGAAGAACAATTGACGAATTGATAGTCGATGAAAACGAGCGTTAGGTTATAGCGCCGACGATGCGCTTACCAGAGAAATTTCCGCCGAAGGTGACGGGAAGGTGTAGCGGGAGAAATTCCGCCGACGAATGTCGCGAATCACCGGCGACGAGGTTGACGATGGCTTCGCCGAGGTTTGCAGGACAAGTATCCGCAGAGAAGGGAGGATCACGATCCGCGTATGCGGTTGAAGGGCTCTGATACCATGTCAGAGATAGGCTTAGAACTGATGCATTAGTAATGAGCTTGAAGCTCTTTAAGTACATCCAAGAGGGGTAGGAAAAGGATGGGGAAGGGAATCGGGGGCAATCTCTAGGGATTGGGGGTAATCCCAAGGCAATCTCCAATTGGTGGGTTGGAGATTGGTTGGAGATTACATTTGGGTTTGGTTGGGATGTAGGTGTACACCCAACCAAACACAATGTGCAAACTACACTACTCTAGGATATAGAAAATACAAAGTACAAATTGTGAGATTGAAGACTAACACTAACAGTCGTCTCCAGCATGCTCAGCCGGGCAACAGCTGCCTCCGCACATTTCATCCATCTGAGCCACACTCTCCCGCTTCCCGCCCCACACGTCTACCCCATAACAATAACGCCCCCCGGCCCAACAGACTCACGTGTACCCACGAGCCATGACTCGATCCAGCATGCTCAGCCGTGCCATAGCTGCTTCTGCACTCCCCCACGTGCCCACGCCAAAGCGGTCGTTCACCCCCCAGAAGTCCGTCCCATGCGGCATCCAGTACGTGCCTCCCTCCCCTGATGCATCATCGCCCACTCCTCGGCGCAGCGCGGCAGGCAGCAACGAGGACAGCGCACCGGTTGAGCGAGGAGGAGGAGAAGGAAGAGGAGAAGAGGGTGAAGAGGAAGCGAGAGGAGACAGAGGAGGAAGCGGCGCGGACCAGAACGTATCCACTCTCGTCCTTACAATCCAGTCAAACGTCACCCCATGCCGCCGCTCGTACCCTCGAATAAGCGGAATACAGGTCTCTACAAGCCGAAAGTACTGCAGCAGGCCCTGCACGCCCTGGGGGGACGTGCCGCCGTAGAGAACGGAGGATCGGTTGTGCAGGAGAGCGGACTCGTTGAGCCACGTGGGTGCGAAGATGTTCACAGCGCCTAGGAGAACCGACCCCATGAGTGCCTCCAGCTCAGAGGAAACCGTCCCGGGTGGTATGTCACTGGTCAGTGGTGGTGGTGGGGGGGGGTCACTGGTGGATGAGGAGAAGGAGGAGGAGGAGCTGTCAGTGCTGCTGGGGTGGTCGCGTGTGGGTTGATCGGCGGTGCTTGGTCGCTGTCGCACGGCCCATTTGAGCGCCCAGAGCTTGTGTGCGTTCTCGTCGAGAGGCGAGTTGAGGAAGAGCACCGGGAGGGGTGCGGAGAGGCGTGCCGTGGAGTCAGAGGAGGAGGAGGAAGAGGAGGGAGAGGAGGGTGCGGACGGGGAAGTGTGTGAAGAGGAGGAGGCAAGGCCGGCTAATAGCCGGGTGACGATGCTGGGCCCTGTGAGCTCAAAGTCCCTGGCGCCCCCCACGAGGCACACCGCTATGCGCGGAGGCACGGGGGAGGCGGATGCAGAGGAGGAGGAGGAGGTAGAGGTAGTGGGAGCGGTGGCGGAGGTAAAGGGGCCATCTGGGGGTTTTGGTGGCGTGAGTTGGTTCTGATGGATGGGGAAGGGGGAGGGGTTGGGGCGGTGGCGGAGGGAAGGCAACATTGTGTTATGGGCCAAATTCAAGATAAGTTTTCTCATAGAATACGGTTCGATCGTTACAAGGGAGTTCCATGGGAGGGAAATGATGTGAGAGAGAGTGGGGGGGCTGCAGGTTCAAAAGAGGAGGGGGGAAGAGGGAGAGGGAGAAGGGACAGGGGAGAGGGGAGAGAGGAACACGCGAGAGGCGGAAATGCAGAGTGAGTGGGAGGGACGAGGAAGAGGGAATTGGAAACAGTCTGCCCATTGCAGTTGTTTCATCTCACCAGCACGGTTTCATCTCACCAGCACCGTTTCATCTCAAAGCACCGTTTCATCTCAACAGCACCGTTTCATCTCAACAGCACCGTTTCATCCCAACAGCACCGTTTCATCTCAACAGCACCGTTTTATATCAACAGCACCGTTTCATCTCAACAGCAACGTTTCATCTCAACAGCACCGTTGTATCTCACCAGCACCGTTTCATCTCGACAGCACCGTTTCATCTCGACAGCACCGTTTCATCTCGACAGCACCGTTTTATCTCACCAGCACCGTTTCATCTCGACAGCACCGTTTCATCTCGACAGCACCGTTTCATCTCGACAGCACCGTTTCATCTCGACATCACCGTTTCATCTCAACAGCACCGTTTCATCTCGACAGCACTCACCAGCATCGCCAGCAAGAGCAGAGCGGCGGCAGCCATCCCCGCACACACCCACACCCACTTCCGCCGCCTCCCCCCTCCCTGCGCCCCCTGCGCGAACCATTGCGCGAACATCCGCGCCCTCGCGCGCACCCATGTAAGCGCGCCGAGCCCCCTCTGCGGTCTGGGGGAGACCATTTCCGCCCTGCTCTCCAAACGGGCTAGGCTGGGTAGGCGCCTCGCAATGCGGTGCTTCTGCGCGTCGCTAGCAGCTCATATACTATGGAGCTCCAACGGCTCCGCCGGTGACGACTCGATACGCGGCACGATGGCGGAGAGGACGTGCGCGCGGCGGACTAGGTAAGTTACGTTCTGTCCAGGCGCGGGGAAGGTTGCCAAAAGTGGCATGGAGCAACGGAATGAGTGGATTTGAATTGGCTGGCTTGGCGTGTGCTTGCTTGAGCTGTTGCGGCGGCAACTTACTCGGCACGTGTGTTTGCTCAAAGGTCCAGCTGTTCGAGAAGATTTAGGTTCTTGCGGCACGTCTAATGAACGCTTCGTTGCAAGGTACTGTAGTAACAGCATCGTGAAGCTACTTTACCCTTATGCCATTGAAAATCCCTAGTACGTATTAGTACATTGTAAACAAAGAATGACAGAACAGACAGAAGGGGGCTTGCATTCCGCTGGGCAGGAAATGGATTTCGAAAAGGGTACACTCTGGTTCACAGAGAAGAGCTGGAGCAGAGCGGCAGTGAGCACTATGCATGTTTCAGATGGCCTGGCCTGGCTTGGCTTGGCTTGGTTTGGCTTGGCTCAACTACAGAATAATTTCCTCCTGCACGCTTGTGTTGAGGGACTTGTGCGGCAGCACAATGCAGTTCACCACCACTGCCTCCTTGCCCACTGCCACGTCCTCTCCTGCACGATTCAAGATCAGATTAGACAGACAGGTGAGGGGAAAAAACATGGGTAGAAGGCCACGGGTGAAAAAGATTGAGCAGGTGCAATGGACTGAGCTGAAGCGCATGGCTCCAATGCAACCCTTGCAAACTCTTCTTGAAAAAAAAGAATGTGGAACAAACAGACTATCGAACAAAATGCTTAAGTGTGAAATATGAGCAAGTGTACCGCCACGTACCAAGAATGGTGACTCCGAGACGGGACTTAAGGTCCCCGCTTCCCTGCACGCGGCCCCACTGCCCCACCACGGACTTCCACCCCACCACTGAGGACACCACTATGGCATTCTCCTGAGGGTTTCGTGCGAGGAACAAGGGCAGGTACGGGGGGGAAGTATGTGAGCAGGTGTGAATGTGAGGTGCCCACTGCCCCACCACGGACTTCCACCCCACCACTGAGGACACCACTATGGCATTCTCCTGAAAGGGTTGCCAGGGAGGTATGAGCGCAGGGAGGAGGGCAGGTATGAGGACAGGTAAGTGGGAAGGAGCGAGTCTCAGATGCTGACTGCCCCACCACAGACTTCCACCCCACCACTGAGGACACCACACCCACTATGGCATTCCCCTGGGGGAGATGCCATGGAGAAACAGGGCAGGTATGGGGGCAGGAACGGAGGTAGGCAGGGGGCAGGTACTGGGAAGGGTGTGCATTTGAGATGCTCAGTGCATCATTTGATTGAAGTGCTTCACTTCACAACACAAATGAGGGAATAATTGCAGGGTTGTTGGGAAAAAGGTGCATAAGGAATTAAGGGGAGGGCGAGGGAAGGGGGCGGCAACAGGGCGGCTCACAAAAGGTAGAAGGGGAGAGCATCAAGTGGAGGAAGAACGAGCAGTGGAAGGAAAAGAGAGTGGAAGAGGTCAAAAGGCACACGACCGAGAGGCGGACTGACCTCGACCTCGTCCAGGATGATGCAGTCTTTCAAACGCACGCCTGCGTTTCTAGTCGACTCTAGAGTGGGAGACCTTGGCACGACTGAGGGACTGAGCAGACGCAAGGGAGAGAGGGACTGACCTTGACCTCGACCTAGTCCAGGATGATGCAGTCTTTCAAGCGCACAGATGCATTCGAGTCAGCTCAAGAGTGGGACAGGCCTATAACCTTGACCTTGGCACAAGGGAGGGAAAGAGCGAGCGCAAATGAGGGGGAGACTGACCTTGACCTCGACTTCGTCCAGGATGATGCAGTCTTTCAAGCGCACACCTGCGTCTCTTGCGACTCTAGACAGGGAGAGCCCTAGAGGCCTTGACCTTGGCACGACTGAGAGACTGAGCCGAGCAGATGCAAGGGAGGGAGGGGGAACTGACCTTGACCTCGACCTCGTCAAGGATGATGCAGTCTTTCAAGAGCACACCTGCCTCTCTAGTCGACACAAGAGTGGGAAAGTTCTATAGGCTTTGAGGAGGGACTGACCTTGACCTCGACCTCGTCCAGAATGATGCAGTCTTTCAAACGCACGCCTGCCCCGATGCGCACGTTCGCTGCAATCGACACGTTCGGCCCCACCTGGGTGGTTAAAGAACGCGGGAGGGAGGGATGAAAGTGAGAGCATAGGTGGGAGAGGTGAGGTGGGGTGTGGGTGAGGTGAGGTGAGGTGAGGTAAGGTGAGGTGAGCTGAGGTGAGGTAAGGTGAGGTGAGGTGAGGGAGGGACGATGAGGGAGTGGATTGACACATGGCAGAGTGCATATGACTGACCCACATTCCGTTTCCTAAGGGTGTGTAAGATCCCCGTGCACACCAATTCGGCCTTCAAAATTAGGTGGCCGTCGCGAAAGTAACTATTTCGCGACTGTCGTTTATAGCTCTGCGAATCTCGCCAATTTCGACCATCAAATTTGTGATTTGGTGGCCGAAAAACAAGTCGACTCTTTTTCGACACATGGTCGACTTTAAATCGGCCATGCAGTCGACAACTGCTGGCTACAGTGAAAAACGACTTAGCATACGCTGCTACAGTGAAACCGCGACATCGCATACATTTGTGCGACCCCGTCGCATCAAGTCGTCAAAACAAAACAAACCGAAAACTTCCACCCCGTAACAACGGCCATCAAATCGTGTCAGATTTGGGGGCTACACTGAGTTGGCCGAAAATAAGTCGACCTGGTTACGACTAATCTGTCGAACCTCGCGAAGGTTTTGACGACCAAATGGTCGACAAAATTCAGCCAAAACGTGTGCACGGGGATCTTACACGCCCTAAGCCTTGACCTGACATACCCAGGCGAACAATTATCTGACATGCCACCCACCTCCCCCACAATGCTCTCCTCTCCACCCAACCTAACCCTCTCACGAACCCATCCCACCCCGCACGCACCCACCCATTCCAATCTCACCCTTCACCATTCTGTCTCTCCCGTTTCCTTTTCTCTCTCTATCTGACTATCGACCCTGCCAACGCCGCACCTTAGCAGAGGGGTGCACTTTAGCGGAGGGGTGGATGAAGCAGTCGCCAATGATGGTGGGGCCGCCAGGCGTGGAGGGGGCGAGCAGCTGGGGGCTCGTCTGGCGGTAGTACGTCAGGTACAGCTGCGAGCACCGCAGGGCCAGCCTGGCGTGGGTGTGGTTGGGTGGGTGGAGGGATGGGGGGGTGGGTGGAAGGATGAGGATGGGAGAGTGTGGGAAGGGGTGTGGAGGATTGTTGCGGGGAGGGTTGTGGAGGGGGAAACGGTGGGGGACGTGCGAAAGCAGACACGGTAGGAGGGCGAGGAATGGGGAAGGGAGAGAGCGAGGGAAAATTGTGAAAAAGGAGAGATGGACTGGCAGTAATTGGCAAGTACAGCAGCAGCAAGCGGTGTGATTGGTGGTTGGGAAGAACAGGCAGAGAACAGGCAGAGGGCAGAGCAAGATGAGGAGGTATTTTGACAGCAGTCGCTTTAGTGACGCTAAATCACTCCCTCTCTCCTCTTCTGTCCATCTAACCGCCATCCTGCCTCCTCCCCAGCATACCCTCCCCCTCCCTGTCCCCGTCCCCGTCCCCATCCCCGTCCCCATCCCTCTCCCCCTCCGCTCCCCGTCCCCCCCACTGTGCCTCACCCTGGCGTCTTGATCTGTTCCCAGAAGTCCTCTGTCTCAAACGCGTACAGCTGCTTCTTGCCTGCCTGCTTCGAAAACACGTGCTGGTCCAGCCGCACGTAGTTCTCTGCACTCACACACATGGAGGGTTGCGAAAAAAAGGGGGAAAGGGAGAAAGGCAGTCGGCGGGCAAGGAAAGGAAGAAGAAACATAGTGGGTTTGGCTTGTGCTGTTTTAGTAAGTTCGAGTTGAGTCGAGTCACCAGCTAAAGGTGGGTTCCATTTTTTGGTCTGGCACGTACCTCCGTCGCCCTCAGCGATGGCTGCTTTGATCATGTCCATGATGGCTGGGTGACTCTTGAGTCGACTAAAAACACCTTGTTACAATGGCAAACGGCAAACGTACCTCCATCGCCCTCGGCGATGGCTGCTTTGATCATGTCCATGATGGCCGGACGGAACACGTACACACCACAGTTGATGCGGTCACTCACCTGTCACATGCATGCACACACACACACACACAAACACACACACACACACACACACACACACATACCCACCCACACACACACACACCCACACACACACGCGCGCGCACACACACAAATGCACAGGTATGCACACACAACACACACAGGCAATAAAGGAGGGCAGGGAGAAGGTGGGGAGTAGGCAAAGACAGTTGAAAAACGAGGCTAAACAAGTCAGTTGGACTCATGGAACTCAGCAATTCGGAGTCTGTAAAACCTCCCCGGGCTGGTGGTGGGAGATGCTTCAGTTGGAGTCAGAAAGTGGTTAGAGCAGATGCTCAACATAACCACCTCGGTTGAGAGCCATCAGCTTGGATTGAATCGGAATCACGAGGAGAAAGCGCAGAACCGAGTGGCCCAACCCAGCAGACCTTCCGTGTGTGGGGATTGTGAAATTTGTTTGTGCATGTGCGCTATCATTCGTGAACCCGTGTGTGCGTGCATGTGTGAGTGAGTTTCGTACAGTTCCACGTGTCAGAGTCTTCATCCACAGTCTAAGCACAATGCCATGCTGCATGCAACGTGCCCCATGCCCCGTGCCCCGTGACGCGTGCCCTACACCCCACACCCCACACTCCACACCCCACACCCCACACCCCAGCCACACCCCACTCTCCACACCCCAGCCAAACCCCATGCCCCATGCTGCGTGCACGTACAAACGTCTCGGGCTTCTCAGCATAATGCAGAATCTCCTTGGTCTCTGGGTCTGCCACCAGCTCGCCAAAGTCACTCGCAGTGTCTGGGGCCACCTGGGAATGGAATGGGTTCACACGAGCCAAAGGCCAAACGCACAGAGACGCACACAAGAGGAGAGAGCGCAGCTTTGGAGTATACTCAGAGAGACACCAGCTCACTCGCAGTGTCTGGGGCCACCTGCGGATGGAATGGATTCACACGAACCCATGGAACCCATGGAGACGCACAGGCGAGCAGAGGCAACGACGAGAGGAGGACAAGGAGATATAAGGGGATGACGATTCTTGAGTGGAATGTCAGGGCATGAATGTGACATTGGGTCTGAATGAACAGCATCGGAAACAAGCCTGGGCACAGAAGAATGGCAGGGAAGTGGAGAGGGCAGGTTGAGAGCATGAGAGGCCGGGATTGTTACCTTGCGGCACAGCAGAGTGCCCACACCACCGTGCTTCTTGTGCGCATCTGCATTTGCAATGAAGCGCGGGAGGGAGGACACACAAGCCGGGCGCACAGCAGTGTTTGGAGGTTCACAAGCTTTGAGGTGCTTGCTTCCAAGCACGGTGGGTAAAGTGTTGTGAAGCAAATGGCTGAAGACGCACACATGCATGGCATGACAGCACACGTACCGAGCATGGGGGCGAGGGGGAAGGTGGAGCAGACATCGCAGTTGATGACAAAGATGTGGTCCTGTGAGTCAAGAATAGGAACCAGGTCACGCACGGGGGACAAGGAGGAAGAAAGGAAGGAAGGACAGGGATGAAGGACAGGGATGAATGGGGCGAATGTAAGAAACCGGGGCAGCACATATGTGTAATGCTGTGCTGGTGGGGCTGCACTCGGGCTCGGGGGTGTACGTAGGGTCAAAACAAGCAGTAGTCTTCGAGCCACCATGCTGCCAAATGTTCTGCTGTGGTGTTACTTCGTTTGTTACTTCGTTCATTCATCGAGTAGCTCACTGGGACGCGCAGCCTATACGAGTGCCCCACCACAACTCGTCCCACCACACCTCACCTCAAAACAACTCAGCCCAGCACATGTGATATGGTGCTACTCCGAAATAATATTCCAGAAGTGCATTGGCCATTGCCACTACACACCACTACCCACCCAATAACACGCCTGCCCTTGCCACGTGCTGGCGCACACACTAGATCAGACAACAGGCAATGAACCAGGCAGAAGAGCAGAGCACAGCACAGCACGTCACGTCACGGCATGGCACGGCACGGCATGGCATGGCATGGCATGGCACGGCACGGCATGGCATGGCACGGCATGGCATGGCATGGCACTGACCGGTTCGTCCTGCAGGATGGTGTTGCGGAAGTGGTACAGCCCTCCCGCGGACCCATGTGACTTGTCCTCGCGCAGGTACCTAGGGGGGAGAGGGAGAGGTTACGAGGGGGGCGAAGAGGGGAAGGGAAGAGAGGAGGGGAAGAGAGGATGGGAGAAGAGGGAGGTGGGGCGGGAGCGGGAGGGGACAGAAGCGAGAGGAACGTGTCCACAGATTTGTCTTTGCGCAAGTACCTTGGATTTGTCCTCCGTTTCACCATAATTTTTTTTTCCCCAATCACGGGAGGCAGAAGAGGAGAGAGAGTCAGGAGAGGAGAAGAAGGTGAATCGAGAGGGAAGAAAGGTGAGAGTGAGGGGGAAAAACTGACGAGAACGCGTTGACAGAAAGGTGAGAGTGAGGGGGAAAAACTGACGAGAACGCGTTGACAGAAAGGTGAGAGTGAGGGGGAAAAACTGACGAGAACGCGTTGACAGAAAGGTGAGAGTGAGGGGGAAAAACTGACGAGAACGCGTTGACAGAAAGGTGAGAGTGAGGGGGGAAAACTGACGAGAACGCGTTGACAGAAAGGTGAGAGTGAGGGGGAAAAACTGACGAGAACGCGTTGACAGAAAGGTGAGAGTGAGGGGGAAAAACTGACGAGAACGCGTTGACAGAAAGGTGAGAGTGAGGGGGAAAAACTGACGAGAACGCGTTGACAGAAAGGTGAGAGTGAGGGGGAAAAACTGACGAGAACGCGTTGACAGAAAGGTGAGAGTGAGGGGGAAAAACTGACGAGAACGCGTTGACAGAAAGGTGAGAGTGAGGGGGAAAAACTGACGAGAACGCGTTGACAGAAAGGTGAGAGTGAGGGGGAAAAACTGACGAGAACGCGTTGACAGAAAGGTGAGAGTGAGGGGGAAAAACTGACGAGAACGCGTTGACAGAAAGGTGAGAGTGAGGGGGAAAAACTGACGAGAACGCGTTGACAGAAAGGTGAGAGTGAGGGGGAAAAACTGACGAGAACGCGTTGACAGAAAGGTGAGAGTGAGGGGGAAAAACTGACGAGAACGCGTTGACAGAAAGGTGAGAGTGAGGGGGAAAAACTGACGAGAACGCGTTGACAGAAAGGTGAGAGTGAGGGGGAAAAACTGACGAGAACGCGTTGACAGAAAGGTGAGAGTGAGGGGGAAAAACTGACGAGAACGCGTTGACAGAAAGGTGAGAGTGAGGGGGAAAAACTGACGAGAACGCGTTGACAGAAAGGTGAGAGTGAGGGGGAAAAACTGACGAGAACGCGTTGACAGAAAGGTGAGAGTGAGGGGGAAAAACTGACGAGAACGCGTTGACAGAAAGGTGAGTGAGGGGGAAAAACTGACGAGAACGCGTTGACAGAAAGGTGAGAGTGAGGGGGAAAAACTGACGAGAACGCGTTGACAGAAAGGTGAGAGTGAGGGGGAAAAACTGACGAGAACGCGTTGACAGAAAGGTGAGAGTGAGGGGGAAAAACTGACGAGAACGCGTTGACAGAAAGGTGAGAGTGAGGGGGAAAAACTGACGAGAACGCGTTGACAGAAAGGTGAGAGTGAGGGGGAAAAACTGACGAGAACGCGTTGACAGAAAGGTGAGAGTGAGGGGGAAAAACTGACGAGAACGCGTTGACAGAAAGGTGGCAAATAGAGGGGATGGTGGAATGAACCTTGCATTCAAGGCCAGTAGCCGCACATACACGCAAGCACGCACCTGATGGGCACGCGCAGCTCGGCGGAGAGCGAGGAGATGAAAGGCGTGAACTCCTTCTCCTCAAAGAACCCGATCACAAACACGTTCACCAGGTTCGGAATCTGCTTGCCCGGCCGCACGCAGTGGAGATGACATGCAGGCGCGGGTTGGACGGCACGCGCAGAAGGCGCGGGTGCGGACGGAAGAGAGAGGGAGAAAAAGGGGGGGCGGAGGAGGGAGGGAGTGGGAACGAGAGGAGAAGAGAGAGGGAGAGGAAGAGCGGGAAAGGGAGAAGGAAAGGGAAAGGGAGAGGGAGAGGGAAAAGGAGCGAGAGAGGGAAAGGGAGAGGTAGAGGGTGAGGCGGAGGAAGAGGGAACGGGAGTTATGAAATGCGTTCCGTATGCACAGCAGGCCCCAACTGATATCAAGGTGGTAAACGGCGGTGACATGCGAGCAGGGGGTTGGGGGAAGGGTGAAAGAAGAAGCGGGCGGGAGGAGGGGAGAATTGATGAGGAAAGAGAACTCTCCGATTCGAGAAAATAAGCACTGGAAAGAAAAGTATGAGAAAGGAGAGCAAAAAGGTTTGGATTGACCATTGCTGGATCATGGATCATGAATTTATGAATCACCTGTTGGCAGGCGTGGATGGGATGGTGAACCATGGGCTTGCCGGCCAGCGGAAAGAGCGGCTTAGGCACGTTCAGAGTGAGCGGCCGGAAGCGGGTTCCTGGACGGGTACGCGAAAGGGTACGCGGAGGAAAGAAGGAAATAAGAATTGGGGTGATAAGGTAAGAGTTATGCGGATCAGACCAGAAAATTGGGTCGAGAGAAGTTCTGATGCCTACGACCGAACACAATCCCTCTGTTTCGACACAATCCTCAAAATTCGAAGCAGAACAGCGAAAGAGATTGCGACGAGTACACAAAGTCCCGGAACAGCTTCGTTGAGGAGAAAATGAGGCTACTAATCGGTAATGCTATTGGCTGTCAATCCGTCTGCTAGATCCGTCGTTCCGATCTATTCGGCAGGCATGAGCATTCTGATCAATCAGCGTGAAGAGAAAACATCAGCTGTGCATGAAGAGCATAAATCAGAAAAGGGTCGCATGGATTCTTCCGTCTCGAAGAGCCAGAGTGGCTGTTTGAGGGAATAAACTCACTCAGATAGCGCACTCTTCCAAACTTTTGAGTCGACTCAAAAGTCACTCAGATAGAGCATTCTTCCAAACTTACCGGTTGTAGGTCCTCCGACCAGAATCACGGCAATTGTTTTGTCCGCCATTGCACCTTCGTTTCACGGTAATGAAGGGCGAAACCGGCGATAAAGAAGCAGGGCACGGGAAATGCACGGATATTGCGTGCACAGAAGGCCTGGCGAGAGCGGGAGCGACAAGAGAAAAAAACTCGTCTCTTGGTAGGCCTGGCAAATTTCCGTGGTTGACCAAGCTGCTGGTGTAGGCAGCACGAAAACCAGGCTCTAAATTGGAATCTGGAGGAAAATGGAAATGGAACCAATTCCACCTACTCGCTTGTGAGGCTTGGTGGTGTGTGGGGTACACAAAAAGGTGGCACGCGACCTCCTACGGTTGAGATGGTTCAAAAAGGGTATCAGTGCTTCAGAAGCGGGACTGGTGGGTGCTTGGAGGTGGGAGATGTCAAGAGATTTGGGATGTGGGGTAGGTGCTGTGGCAGGTGGAGCCTGGGCCAGAGGCAGGTGATGGTGAAGCGGGGAGGACAATGAGGAGGGTAACCTGAGATCTGGAAAACAGGTTGGGCAGCCTCGCAAATATTTTCTTGGGAGGTGCCAACGAAGACTGAAGTAGATAATTGAAGTAGATTACGTAGATGTTTAAATACACATTCATTTGTAAATTGTCATAACATAAAGCCCGCACTTAGCTGTAATGTCTTGTCCTGCTGCTTCTAAATTTGCACACCCGAAATATCCCTCAAATTCCTTGATCCTGGCGGAGATTCCTCGAGTGGAATTATGCCTCCTTGTCAGGTATCTGTCAACCCTCTCTCATCCACCTGAATGGTCCACGTGGTCACTAACTGTCGTCGGTTACTGGCTGCGAAGCGTCGACAGCGTTGCCAGGTGGAGCTTCTGTAGGGGGGAGTGCTGACAGAAATAATAAGCAGGTTTACCTCGGTTCCAGGGCTAAACAAGCTAATTCAAGTGCAGCACTGTAGAAAATATTGTTGATGCTGAAGTGCTCAACTCTGGTTTCTTTCACTTGGTCGCAATAATGTAGAACCCAGTCAGAAGCGGAATAGAGCAGAGTTACTAAAAATTCTTGAAATCTTGACCTTCAAAAAAACTTCACATTGCAAAGTAAACATGAAACTATACAGCCAGCCTCGAAAGACTTATGTGATCAGTCCAACACTGCCTCTCAATCAAGTGCTGCCTGGGCAGATGGTGCAGCAGCCTCCTCCTCATCCTCATCACTTGATACAAGGCCTTCCCTCTGCCCCTCGGCTACACTCGGCAAGCTGCCATCCCGTGGCTCCTCTGTTTTCTGCTTCTTCCGCTTCTCTTTCTTCTTTTGCCGTTTCGCTCGCTTCTTTGCTGTTCGCTCCTCCGCTTCCTTCAGCCGTTGTTCTCTGGACAATAGACAGGAAGAAAGGCAAAAAGGTTCCAGGGGGGGGGGGAGGGAAGGAGTTCAGAGGGAGGGGCAAGAGTAGCACGATCTACAATTCAAACGTATGACTCCAATAAAAATCAGGGAACAAAAGCGTAGACTCTGCACCATATCCTACCATGTCATACCATGCCATGTCAGTCTGCATGGCTATGACATCACACAGGCGCAGGCGCACTGACCACTGACCTGCGTTGTTGGAAGCGCTTCTCCTCCATGCGCTTGTTATAGTCCGCCTCCATCCGCATCAGCCGGTCCTGCTCGTGCCGCCGCATCGCTCGGTACTGCTCATGTGAACACATTAACAATCACACACATGCATTCATGCACACATGCACACATGCATGCACACATGCATTGTTGTGTGACATGTAATTCCAATGGGGAGCAAGTGCGTCCAATTAGGGAGCACGTGCACAACAACAGCCCAGACATACCCAAGCTCACACACAAACAAAGAAGGAGGGAGATGCAAGGCTTGGAATAGCGAACCATAACCCGATTGCCCCTCAGCCTGATCTCCAGCCTGAACCTTGGGTTGACCATCGGACTAACTCCTAGGCCGAACCTTGATCTGACCCTCGGGCTAAATCTCAGGCTAAGGACGTGTATGATTTTTGAAATTGGCAAAGTTTGCATTTTTTTTGTCGAATGTAGCATTTGAACTTGAGCCGAACAGTGTTCGACTTCCATTGAACGTGAATTTTGAACCGCGCATGAGAGTTTCAAGTAGGTCAAATCACACACCCAAGGTCGAATTTGAATGTTCGACTTATAGGGGGTGAGCCGAGCCGCTCGTAGGGGTTGTAGTTTACCAGGAATAATTTTGTAGACATCGCGCCAGTTCAACATACTGACTGCGATTTTTGACGAGGGTTACATTGTGTCGCAAAAGTTTCGCAGAACTCGTTAATTGTCGTACGTGCGCAAAACCACACACGTTCGGTTCACTGTACGCGCCCACATTAATGCATTTACTCGAGTCGAGTTCGGAAAACCTAGGTCGAATTTGCCACGTCTTCAAAAGGAAAGTCTTTCGTCACAAAGCTTTCGCGAAATTAACGAAGCGGGTAACCAGACAAAGTTCGACCTGTTTTCCGAACCTATAAAAAAATCATACACGTCCTAACTCCCTAGCTAAACTTTAAGCTGGCCCTCAAGATGAACACAGATGGTGTGGGACAGCATCCGCAGTTCCACGTGGAAACCAGGCAATCGAAGGGCAAAGAAGGGGGAGCACACGGAGAAGTGCAGAAATCGCCATGGAAGCAAGCAAAAAACGGTGCAGCTCTGGCGAGAAAAGGCCCAGGCTAGGTCAAGAGTGCAAAGCACGTGCGAGCGGTTCACTCTGCAAGACATGCGCAGGTTGAGGATCATCACGCGCGTGGCAGCTGTGGCTCGAGACAGCAGCAGCTGTCAGCTCGCCCGTTCCGAGTGATCCTAGCCTAACACCCAATTTACTCTTTCCTTGCGAAGACCCGCGACGAGGCAGCAATCTCTTGCGCGAAAGATCATCAGACTCCCTGACCTGGTACGGACCAGTCTAACTGCCTAAGAACTCGGACAGGGTAAGGCAACCAGTCCACCCGTCGGTCTACCACTTTTCCCTTCCCCCGTCAAAGCTTCCGCTTCCGCTTCACTCCCCTCTTCTCAAACACCCTTCCGCTTCCATTTCCGCCGCACCTGGTGAAAGTCTCCGCTTCCGCTGCCCGCGGAGCTTCCGCTGGTGCTGGTGATGCGCAGCGGAACGCACTCGGAGATGCGCTGTAGCTTCACCTCGTACGGCTCCTCCTCCACGTCACCCTTGGGATCCTCGCGCTTCGTCTCTACGATGTCGGGAAGCGCGACTATCTGCGTGTTACCATCCGTGAAGGTTTGTGACGTCGTGTAGCGAGGCATGTTTGCGAAATCTACGAAGAATTACGGGTGACGAAGGTGAAAGCTGGTGTGACGTATGGGGTGGACGCTGGACAGCAGTAGTCGCGACGGTCGTGAGCGAGAGACGCTGGCTGGGCTGCAAAGAAATGACCACGCTTGTCAGACTGGACTCGCGATATGGAACGTGAAAAACCAGCTGCACTGCACTACACCTTTGAAACATACAACCCAACCCTATTCGCGTTTCGGTGTAATATTAACTTTTGTGTAACAAAACTATAGGTTTAATACGATATGGAACGTGAAAAACCAGCTGCACTGCACTACACCTTTGAAACATACAACCCAACCCTATTCGCGTTTCGGTGTAATATTAACTTTTGTGTAACAAAACTATAGGTTTAATACTTTTTTCCCATACTATATTATAGTGGCAGTACATCCACCACTCTGGCGCAAATTTAAAACAAACTGCATTACAACACTAATACATGAGATATGATAACCATGATTACAACAGATAGTAAAGGGAGGAAGCAAGAACGGAGAGCACTCAACAATCACCAAGAAGCATAGAGGAAACTATCTCAATACTATATTGTGATGCCTGAGCTCCTTGACTAGGTGTAGAGCTTGCTGCATAGGATTAGTGTGTGAGGTCACTCAGCTCAGCAGGATTATGGTAATGGGAGACTGGTGGGTTGGGATGGCATACGCACTTGTTTGAGAGAGGGGCATGGTATGTGTTAGGTACACAGAGCCTAAGATCAAGATAGCATGGGTGGGAGGAAGAATCGAAGGAAGTGCTCAGTAGCTGGCAGTAAGAGAAATTCCGGAGGAAAGAGGGTAAGTGGGCGAGCAAGATGGTGTGAGTAGGAGGGAAGAGGAGGAGAGCGGGAAGAGGAGGAGAGCGGGAAGAGGAAAGGGAGATGGGTAAAACAGGAGAGAAAAAGAGTGAAAGGATGGAGACTCAGTCTGATGGGCTGGGGCCAAGAACACAGGGAAGTAGAGGCAGTAAAGACGGTTCTAGAGGAGTAAAAGGGGATGGTATAGGGTTTTGGGATTGGATAGCGATCAGAGGAAGCTTGCGGTGGGTCTAATATGGCACCAGACAGGTGCAGGAAATGAGAGAGCACTCGCTTGCTGCTGCTGCTGCTGCTGCTGCTGCTGCTGCTGCTGCTGCTGCTGCTGTTGCTCCCACTGCTGCTGACGCCCATTTTCTATACGCAGGAAAGGTCATGCAGGTTTGGTGGCAGGATTTTCCGTGGAGGCACAGAGGCAGGGACCAGGAACGAGGGCCTAGGGAATGGAGACTCTAAGAAGCTGCGTCACATGGCGCTGGCAGTGGGTGCCCTGAGTGCGGCCCCAGCCTTTCCATGCTTCCTCGCAGTTGCACCCTTCGCTCCCTCTCCATCCGTGCTGCTTGTGAGTCGACTCAAAAGTCAGCGTCACATGGTGATGGCAGTGGGTGCTCTGAGCGCGGCCCTAACCTTTCCATGCTTTCTTGCTCTTGCACCGTTCCCTCCGTCTCCATCCATGCCGCTGGGTGGTGCTGGTGTGACCTTCACAGCAGGTATGTCTCCATGCACCTGCACGAGTAAGAGAGATTTGGGGAGGAAAGGGAAAGAGGAGAAGCGGAAGGGGGATGAGGGCTGTGGTGCCACTGAGTGGTGCTGGTGTGACCTTCACGGCAGGTATGTCTCCTCGCACCTGCGTGTGCGAGAGATAGAGAGAGTGAGACCAAAAGGGCAGGAGGAGAGGGAAGAGGAGAGGCGGAAGGGGGATGGGGGTGTGGTGCTTCTGTGTGGTGCTGGTGTCACCTTCACGCGCATCTGCGTGTGCGAAAGAGCGCGTGCGCAAGAGTGGGGGAGGAGGGGGAAAGAGGAGGAAAGCCAGAAGAGGAGAAGAGGGTAAGCAGAGATGCATTGCTGCTGGATGCATGGAGGAACGGATGCATCAGAGTGCCACCATAGCATCTTGCTGCATGCCCAGCGCTCAACCACGCTCATACCCAACTGTTGAATTCAAAATGCAAACCCCACAACCCCACCCCCACCCAAAACAAAGCTTTGTCTTCCACGGTATTCAAACCGTACTCCCTCCCTCCCGCCCTCTCTCTTTCCCTTATCCCTCCTCCCCTCGCCTCAACCGCACCTGCATCTCCTGCATCTCCTGCATGAGCGCGCATGCGTTGCAGCAGCAGTGCGTGAAGCAATCCTCCACTCCGCCCAACGGGGCCTCAGGCAGGCTGTACCGCTGCCGCACTCGGCCACGCAGCACCACAGAGAACACCTGCGGGAGGGGGACAGAGGAATTACAGGCTCTTTATACCGGCCTTTTCAAAGTGGCTCAAGAAAAGTAGTAGGCTCGTGAAAAGCAGGAGGCTCGAGAACAACGGTAGGGCCAGGAAAAGCAGGAGGCGAGAGAGAGAGAGAATACGGGCAAGTGGTGGGAAGGCAGTTGGCAGGAGAAGATGGAGGAGAGGAGGGAAGAGAGAAGGGAGGGGAGCAGAGCAGCTACTTCTGAGTCAAAGGAGTAAGCAGGAGTTAGCAAGCAGAGCATCTGTTGAGGAGGAATAGCATCGTACATGGCAGGAGAGGAAGCAGGAAAGGAGGGAGTAGAGCAGAGCGCCAGCAGCTGGGGTGGTGGAGGTAGGGTCGAGAGCGTGGGCGATACGGCCGGTGGTGACGCAGGGGCAGAAGCAGGCTTCAATGCACAGGCATGAGGACACGTGGCACGGTGCTGTGAGGAGAGAGACGGCCCACGTGGATTGCTGGGAGCGAAGGTTCGGGGAGGGAGAGACGAGGTAGATAGGGGGGAAATCAGGGGAGAATTCGCGGGGAGGTTTAGGGAGTTGAGGTTTAGGGAGTTGTGGCTGTTGAGCAAATGACCATGGATGCAAAGGAATGGGGAGGGTACAATGCACAGAAAAGATCACGAAACGAGGAAGACTCAACTGAAGATTGTTGAACTACGAGCACAATGATATGTTATGCACGCAGTCGCAGCAGGTCAGCGTACCTTATTTGCTGCTTTCACCCTTAGAGAGCCTGGTCTGCTCGCAATGCTCTGACTCTGCTCCCCCTTTGTCTTTCCACCCTTTCCTTTGCCAGCACCACCAGCGTCAGCGCTAGCAGCAGGACCAGTAGCAGCAGCATTAAGAGGAGCAGCAGCATGGGTAGCACCGGCAGCAGCAGCAGGAACAGGCGGAGGAGCCCAAAGGGCATTCCCCATCCCGCCACTCCCCTCACTCCCCTCCGCCTTCCGCCCCCATCCCCCCAGCGCCTGCCACTGCTCCCAGATCCCCCCTCCCCCCGGGGCGTCCTCCCCGCAGGGGGAACTCCGCGTGCGCCTGAGCGGGGACATTTTCGGCTGCTGCCAAGGTACCGTCGAGACCGGAATAGGTCTATTTTCCCCCGATAGGTTACGTGTCACCTTCCCGTGACTGCCACCCGGCCACCCCGCGCTTCCGCCGCTCGCTGGGCTTTCCGCCACGCCCGGAGTCATCCCCGGAGAGATTCCCCTTCCCCCTTCCCCTTGCCACGGGGAGCCGATTTCCCCCCAATTCTCGTAGCGCATCCTCCCCTGCGTAGCGGGAGACGCGGCGGACGGCCCGCCGTTGCCGTCGGAACGGCTTTTCGGGAGGTGCGTGAAACCCGGCGACACGGCGGGCATGTGCGTCGCGTATGGCCAATGAACGAGCGACGGCGGAAGCGTCGGCGGAAGCCCCGCCGGCTGCTCGACCCCGCCGCGCTTCTGCGCCAACGCTCCGCGGGCTCCGTCGGCATACGCGGCGGCCTGCGCGAGCTCGCGAGGAGGGATGATGATGCTGGGCGGGGGCATGGGAAGCGGAGATATGGGGGAAATCGGGCCCGAGGGGACGACAAGGGGGGGACTATGCGGAGCGACATTGCGGGAAGTAGTCACTTCGGTAGTAGCCGTGATAGTGATGGCACCGGTTGTAGTACTTTCGTGGAATTCCGGCGTCTGAGTGTCCGAGCCGTTATTGATCCGGCGATGCGGCGAGCCGTTATTGTCGTCTGGATCCATTTAGTGGCGCTGGCGATCGATGATGCGGCGCGAGCAGGAGTTGTGCGCGGGTCTCCGAGTGCGTGTGTGGAGAAGGGGAAGGGAATTCGCGGTCCAGAGGCGAAGGTAGCGGTAGCAGCAGAGGCGGAAGCAGAGGCGGAGGCGGAAGCAGAGGCGGAAGCAGAGAGTAGAAGTCAGTGGGGATTAGCCCGCGCAGTCTTCGGCGGGGTATACGCGCTAAGGATCTGGTTCACTATCCAATCAAGGAAAGTGCCACTTCTTGCGATCTACTATACTGGCGCCAGTAGAGAAACAGCAGCAGCAAGGCACGACGACTCTCACAAATCGCGTGCCCCAGTATTGTTTCCTAAGTAGTCCATACCCCCGATACTACTACTAATAATGATAGCGGTACCACTGCTGGTGATTCGTCTCCCGCCCTGCTTCTCATTCGCGGCAACGGGCGCCTACCCTTGGCAGTAGTGCTGCTGGTAATACTGGCAGCCTGTGGGAGGGTTTGTCGGAGTTAGTCTGGCGGATGAGGCGGCGGCAGCGGCGGCTATTGGGCCATGGCGGCTGTCGCGACGGCAGCTGGGGTCATTGCAAGGGGGTGGCTACGTTTGCGACTCGTAATACGTATCCGATATGGTCGCGCACTTTGTACTGGTTACAAGTTAGATACTGCGGCGGGGCGCTGCTGGTAGACTGAAAAAAAATGCTCACCCTGTGAGCTCACGAGCGCGCGCGACCTGTTACAGACCAGATATCTGAAAAAGTGTTTCTGTAAAGAAAGGGACGGCGAAGAGGGTCCACCTGGTCTTTGACAGGCGAATCAAGGAGTTTCAGGCAGGGCCGACCATGGGTCGTAGTGCTGCGTACAGTTCTGACTTAGGTAAGCATTTCAGTGGTAAGCAAAGTAACTTAGGTCTACCTTCACCGACGTTAGTGAGGACTATCCTTGTACTCGTGCAGCGGCGATGGCTGCGTGGCTTCTACTCCGTGCGCCTCGGCGCGGGCTGGCTCATGTCATGCAGTGTTTGTATGAAGCGATCGCAGGTCGTTGTTTGTGACCCAAGAGTCGTTTTGGAAGGAGGGATATCTGACATCCGCGGAATTCTTCTTTCGTCGGTGAAATTGAGAGCCACCCAAGATTGGTGTCTGCTTCGGTTTAACTAGCGTTTCAGCGGTGATGGCTGGTGCGGACCGGTTAAGTTGCAATCTTCACATTTCGAAGTCGGCATCACGGCCCAACCAGATTGTCGGCGGAAGGATAGAGAGGGACGGAGAGGAGTTCAAAGGATATTGAGTGCGGAACTTCCAGGTGGTCAGGCAGGCACCGTCAGATCCTCTCAGCCACAAACATCTCAGGTCAAAAGCCAGGTTTCCTACAATCTCATTCAACTCCATTCCATGCTAACAGCCGCTCAATCCCCTCTGTACAGGTGGCACCGTAAGGTCGGCCATTTAGGAAAACCACCTGGAAAATCTGGATATTTCGTCGCCGTTGACTACATTCAACGTCCAGCATTCGTGCACGACGATTGACGACGTCAGGTGAGTGCGTTACCGACGACGGCGAAAGTGTAACGAACGACCGACTTCTGCTGACAATGAAAAGAAACTGCAGGAGTCAATGGAATTCGGTTCTACGCGTACGCCTGAGCCAATAAGAGAAGTTGGGGGTCCAACCAGACCTGAGTCAGGTGCTGTTCCAGGCAGGCCACCACCAGTGCCGTGAGAGTGAGCCAGAACTCTGACTGACATGCGTCAGAGTAATTCGTTAGAATGCGTCTCAATAATAATCTTAAATATCAAAGGGTACTACCCAGGTGCCAATCTGTTACACTAAGCAGGGTAAACATCGAACAAAACAGCAGCTCCTCAGTCCATAAACATAATTTCAAACAAGCTAATAAATGTGAGAATGCTCGAAAATATACATGTAATCAGTGTAATTAAAATTGTTGATCCACGAAAAATACAGAGCTATTTCTTCATATTTACAACCATCGTTGCTACACATTACGCTCGCTTTAGTTACAAAGCCCGAGAACAATGAAACGTGCACCGGGAACGACGCGCTGCATGTTATCGAGACGCGATACGAAATCCACAGCTTTGCCGGACCGCACTGATGGATCTAGCTCCAACCAGTTTGTGATTGGCCGTTACAGGTTTGGCCTGCCGAGCCATTCAGGGCGAGCATGAGAGCCAGAGCATACCAAACCAGCGGGGCAAGTGCGGGATGGTGTTCTTGGCGGCAAGGTGTGGGGCAGCTTCGCTGAGGTGAGGATGCGGGGCTGGTGGAATGGGATGGGAAGCACACCTGCGGTGCGTGATGCCCCTTCGAGGGCGAAACATCTGTTGGGTACTGAGAACGCGGTTCGCGATTATCAAATCTCACCCGTTCAACTGTATGAAACCAATCCATCCCCGTATGCGGCGCGCAACTCTAGAATTACGGATTGCTCTCTAATGACGAGAGGATGGAGACCTACCCCACCACGACACGACAATTTTGCCCTTTCCATACGCACCACCCAACATTTCTAGCCCCCAAATTCTTGAGCGTTCAGCATCAACCACCTCCCTGCTTAGCTCGTTCTCCCTTCTTGTGAGAAGTAGTTGAGATTAAGAGACACGAGCTGCCTGACTAATTGGTGGGACGAAGGGTATGGCGAGATTTACGGTTACATTTGCCGCTTTGCTCGTGCTCTGTGTGCTATCAGTCAGTATTTGTCCCTGCGTGGAGGGCAAAAGGAACGCAGATGCGTTAGAGGAATGGGACGTTCAGGCAGCCGTCGCGATAAACATCCCCAAGACTCTTCCGAAAGCCGCAACTCTAGGAATTTTCAGCTTTGTCAAGGCTCTGTGTGAGTCACAATCTCCAAGAAAGCCTCCTTATATGGTGTATTCCCTCCCACCTATGCAAGTCTCAGCTTCGACGTTGTTATTTCTGCTTTCTGTCGCCCACTTTCCTCTTCTAAACCTTCTTTTTCCACATCGCATATGTATTTTCCATGCGTCTTGCCATCCCATACTGCCTCCCCACCCCTTCTCTCCCATCTCTCCTCCTTCCCCTCAACCATCTCCCCACTTTCCCCTCTCCTCAGACCTCTACCCCTCTCTCTTCCTCTCACGCACACAAACCGATAAGCCTGATCTCAGGCCTATCTACCTACGCTCTGTGATATCCTGATAGTCCCGCGCTCGCTGAATTGATATCTGCCATGAATAACTCTCACGTTCGCCTGTTCAACCATCATTCCTCCGCGCACCACCGTTCCTTCGCGCCTTACACCACCCGCGCTAGCTCATCAGTTTCCCTTGCCTGCCCATCCCTTTTCCTAAATCATTTCCCCGGATTCCCCGCCAGTGGCGGCGCGCAAGACGGGCGCGGCGACTCTCTTCGTGCCGCTCAACGCGTTTTACCTAACTAAGGACCTGCTACAGTACGGCGCCGACAAATTCGACCGGATAATGAAGTACCACCTAATTGAGAACCACAAGTACCAGATCGAGGATCTTAAAGCCATGAACGAGGACACGCGGCTCCCGACCATGGAGGGCAGCAGCATGAAACTATTCTCCAAGAAAAACGCGACGGTGGTGTTGCTTCAGGGGCGCGTGTTTCTACCGTCTGCCGTCGTGGTCCCGAACGTATACATCGGGACCAAGATGGCCGTGCATCTCATCAGTCATCACCTCCTCCCCATGTCGTTTACCCCGTGATCGCGTCGCGCCGTAGGAAAGCGACGCACTGAAGCCCGCGCGGACAGAACGGCGGTGCGCGGTGCTGCGGTGCTGATGACGGTTCGCGGTGGTTGCAGCTCGCCTAACAGCTGCGGCCGCAATTCCCCACTCATGCCTCGACTGTCTCGTGCTCCTGACGTTAATAAGCCCTTGGAGCCTTTCAGACAAAGATTGACGCTGATTGGAGCTTCTGGGCAGAGCGTTGCTTTCCTGTAAGACTAGCCGACGTAGAGTATTTGGAGCGTTATCTGACTCTGATAAGGCCCAGCCAGATATGCACTTGATTGAGTCCAAGTGCATGCCCCATCCCATATGTAAGCCACTCAAATGGGCGGAACTTGCCAGGGCCTTCTGGTGTTGCTTCTCCCGCTCCTGGGCACCCTTGGGAGCTTGCCTTTTTAGGTTGCATTGAGTGGTGTATGGGATGGGGTAGCTGCTCTCAGGTCTCTTTTCTGATTGCTTTTTCTCTACGTATTAAGAACGTTTCGAAAGTAGCATATCGTTCAAAATTAGAGTAGGAGTAGCACCTTGTGGCTGTTGAGATTGCTGATACCAGTTGAAGTAAACCCGTTGCCTTTGTTGAACTGGTGAGAAGTGACCCGTGCAGCTAAAATATGACATGACATGATATAATGTGTACATGACATGTTCGGTAGATTCGGCCAGATTGCTCTTTGGTTTTCTTAGGGCGCGTGTCTTTTGGTGTAGACGTTCGGATTTTTGGTTGAACTTTTAATGGTTACCCTATTCGTTTATTTCGCGAAATTCTTCGCTTGTACGTCGTGTGTCCATGGACACTGTCGGCATCGAAGAAAGTTGGACTCCTAAGCTGAACTCTCATCAACAAACATGTTGGCACGAAAGTGCAAGCGTGTGTCCAACTCACCACTGACAGCGCTGATGCGAAGTCTGCGACGCTCGCAGCTAGCATCGTGCGCACGAGGGTGCTCGTCAGCGGGAGCCTTAAGTGGCGCGATGTCAAGAGCCCAAACCGGGTAACCTACGAGAGTAGGTCGCGGCTCGGCTGGGCTCCAAAAGTTCAACTTCGATAGATGAACTTTTGTGTGTCTTGTGATTCTCGGGAGTGTTGGAACCGCGACTCGGTTTGCAGATGTTGAAAACTCGAGCCTAGGTCGACCTAGGTTCAAATGTGTACAGCTCAACTCAAAATCCGAGTTTTGCATATAAAAACCAAAAGACACGCGCCCTTATGTAATGAATTGGGAAAACAGCGACTTCGTAGAGGACTAGTACCACCGTACTAACAG